CTAAATGCACCTGCACCATAATTAGCATGGCTGGGCCTCACAGCGAGTGTGGTCAGTGTCTCCTATCCCCTGACATTGCTTCAGCAAATACTCCAACAGAGTTTTCTCCAAGCTGAACATGCATCTAGTCATCAAAGAGATTGCAAATGACTAATAAATATGAAAAGAAGTCAGGGGGCAGCAAAAATTTCTGGACCAAGATCAATCTTTACTGACAACTGCTGCTTTTTCTAAGCAAAAGTACCCTGCAGAGTTTAAAACAGCATCCGACTTCAAAGCAGAGAGCTCTCCAGATGGAGCTTACCACCCCTGCAACACCCTGTGCTTCGTCAGGTTCCATGCACTTACTGAGGGACAGTCAGATTATTTCCAAAGAAGGGAAACACACCAACTTCTTCAAAACCACAGACTCGGAACGATGTGCTCTCCAAGATGTAGGTGGCAAAAACTGATCTCTGGGCCAGCCTCCCAAGCACCATGGGCAGTCCTTTCTGCCTGTTCTCCTTTTACAAGGGCCAACAAGAGGAAAGCCTCACCTGTCAGCAAGCTGTGTCTGCAGCTGAGATGAAGGTGATGCCTCTGGTGAGATCCAGTCACCCTCCCACTCTGCAAAGTAGGACTCAGAAAGTGGTGTGTTTGCAGCACGAGGATTTCACCTTTCAACCCTGTTTCTGCAGATCTTCAGTTCAGGGCACAAAGACAGACACCTTCCTGTGTGTTTCACAGGGGTGACTTTGGTCACCCTGGTGCCATTGTGGGAAGGGACCTGCAGCCCTGCAGGGCCTGGCAATGTCCCATGCACGGGGACCTGCTGAGCCTTCACCTCCCCAAGCCCACCTGTATCCCTGTTAGGGGATTTCTCCACAGCTGGAGAACTCTATGGAGAATCCATGGATTTAATTTCAGGAGCATTTCTGTAAAGCTGGTTTGTTTGTTGGTTGGTTTTTGTTTGTTTCTGCCCCAGCCTACCAGCCCCCCCAAGCACTTGCCCTTCAGTAAAGCTGAAACCAATCTCAGCTCACTACAGACACAACTGCTCCAACCTCCTGTCTGTGGCCAGTGATTTATTACCATTCTGCTGCCTGCAGTCCTGACAAATACTCATTTTGGTAATTACAGGATGCCAAAAAATGAGAGGATAAATAAACCTGACAATTAATTCAGCTGTTATGCACACACACACACGGTGACAATCGTTCTCAAGTTTCTTAGGAGCCCAGCTCTTCCCAGATGGGCACAGAAGCCAGGCAGAGCTCAGCCAGCCTGGACACCCCTACCTCTGCCCAATTCCCTTCAGGGTTCTTGAGCTGATAAGAGCCAGGCATCCCACCAAAAGCCACTATTTTCCTTCTAAGTTACTCGCCAACCTACCCTGTCTCATCTCCTGCCAAGATCAGCTCTTTAGGCCCCTGCATCATTATCACAGAGCATATATAATTTCACGGCAAATCGCAAGAACTGATGAATGACTATTTGGATTGCAATTGTCAGGAGAGTATAAAATGCTTCCTGCCATACAGAGCCCAGGAATGGTTACCAGCTCTCCTGGCTAAAGGCACGTCTGACCTGCTTAGAGCCCCTGCTCTGCTGGGGCTGGTGTGGGGGGACTGTGGGCTGCCTTCATGGGGAGGGCACAGGGCTGGGTGCTACCAGCACAGGGGGTTGGTATTCTGGTGTAATTTGTATCCTCTTTTAAAAGAGGTCTTGCCCTGCTCACCGCTGGGTACCCCATCCCACTCCCCTCCCCGTCACCCGCAGCCTGTGGGAAGGGTGCTGATGCCCAGTGCAGTGTCCTGGCACATGCAGGAATGACAATCTCCATCTCATGCCCTTTCCTCCCTGCTCTTGTAACACAGCTCAGCCTAGCCTAGCTAAAAAATTCTTCCTCTTGCTTTAATTCTTTCCAAAAGAAAAGAAATTCCCTATAATCCTGACTAAACACCAATTCATCACCAGGAGAAGGTCACAATGCTCCTGTGCTTTCTCACAGTCTCTGTCCAGGGCAAAGGCATCAGGGAACATCTTTTATCTTCCCTTTCCCCTCAAAAACCCATCTGCCACCCAAAATATGAGTGAATCTGGATTGCTGACATCTTTTTACTGCTGGTTTTCAAAGCCATCTGCTTTTGTCCCATTTAATTTTCATCTCTTTATGTAAAAGCTTTTCAAGTAGACCTAAAGTTTTCCATCATTAAATTCTAAGTGTTGGCCTTGAACTTAAAGTTTTACCACCTTCTGCTTCTTCAACATCAGTGTGAATTATTGACCAGGGTGACTGCTGTCAGCCCCTCTCAGTGTTTAAACCCTGATGTGAGAGGCTGAACAGCCTGGCTCCTGTTTGTACTAGTTATAAACTTATTCTAATTGCCTTCAAAGCAATTAGAATACCTTTGCAAGAAGGTTTTCAACACAATCACTGGTCTCAGAGATCTTTAGGCTAATCTGTAAGAGCCAGCAGCATCTGCTTAGTGCATTATTGCCATGGGAGCTGGTTGCTGGAAGAGCAGGTTTGGTCAGTTTGGGTACGTACCTGGAGGAATTTCAGATGGTGTCTGGGGATCCAGAGGAACCTTTTGGATATCTCCTGGGCAGGCTAACTGGTCAGGCAGCACTGGCAGCCTTCCTCCAGGACTGCAGCCACATGGATCAGGGTGACCACCTGGAAGGCTGAGCTGGCAGAAGGAAGAGGTACACCCTGCCTGAAACGCTCATTGCTGTCCTCAGGAAAGTGTCATTTGTATAAAATCCATTTCTAAGCCCTAGAAAAGGCAGCAGAAGGTCCCCAAACCAACTAACAGCCCTGCCATGGATTAAATTCCAGATAGCCATTCCCTTCAGCTCACTGTCCTCCCCACTCATCACTCCCTGCAGCAGGAAAAGCTCCCCAGCCTGTGGCATCAGCCCTGCAGGTGTGGGAGGGGGACTTGAAGACTCCTGGCCAAAGTCAACCACACCCCATGGGACAGGTGTCAGAAGTAAAGCAATTTAGAACCACAAATAGATACCAGGGCTTCTGTTTCACTTCTTAATTGGGTAGGGGCTCATCAGCCTCCCCAGTAACTTCCTACAGCCCTGGGGAAATGACACGTAGGTCTTGGGGTGCTCAGTGTGCCCTTGGGGCACACAGAAAAGCACCATCCCTTTGCCCCTTTGCCCACTGTACCTTGGACACCCCATCAGTGCCCTGCAGCGCAGGGGTCCCCAGTCCACCCCCAGCCCCTCGCCATCAGCTGCCCCGCTCCCAATTCAGCTGCCCCAGGAGTGGCTCACCCTTCCCAGGCTCACACACACCCACAGGCAGGAGCATGCTGCATTCTGCTCCCAAATAAGCTTTTTGGATTGGGTTGGTTTGTTTTCTTTTTTATTATTTAACCAGTATGGCAGTGGTCACCCACTGCCCCCCCAGCGCTCGCTGGTGGGCACGCCGAGCAAGTAACAGTGAACAAACCCGTCACCTTTAGCAGAAGAACCCCCTCCCCTCTGGAGCAAGATGTGGAATTATTTACACCCGGTGGTCTCTGTACAGCCCCGGCTGTCGTACAACTTCCTCCACACCAGCTGTGCACAGGCTGGATACAAATAGTGATATTTCCCCCTGGTACAGTTCAAGCAATAAATTGTCCAATAATTTGTTTGCCTGTTTGTACAAGTCACAAAGTCGGTGAACATTAAGTTTAAACTTAGGGGTTTTTTTAATAGTCTAACGTGACTTTCTCCTGGATGGCACAACCACAGCCGGCAGTGCAAGGAGGTGCCATCGGACCGTGCCGCAAGGTTTTGGGGGGCTTGAGGATGCCTCAGTGGGGAGAATGACGGCCAGAGGGGGAAGCACCACAACCTGCAGGAGCAGCAGCTTTCCCTTTCCCAAAACCATGCTCCTCCAGCCCACATCAGAGCAGGGAAATGGGGGCCATCCCACTGCAGCCCCCCGGGTCTGGGGGGATCCCCACCAAGCAGCTGTGAGCCTCCTGCCCACGTTGATTTGACCCAAATTAATTAACCCAAGTGGGAGGATGCTCCCCACTCCAGCACCCCAGGAAGGTGGCTCAGAGCTCCCCAAGAGGAGCTGTTGCTGCCCCATGTTCCCCCTGCAGTGTTCCCCTATCCCTGTCCCTGCTGCTGCAGGGATGTTCCAGGGGACAGGCGGCTGCAGGAGGGTCCGTGTGGGACGGGATGTGCACGGGGAGACCTGACGATGGAGACGCAGCAAGACAGAAAGTGGCAAAACCAAGCAGTGCTGTGGCTCCCAGCAAGGGGGACTCCTCAGGTGTAGGTTCCCACTGGAGCAAATCCTGCGTGTCTCTCTCTCCCAGTCTCATGCACCCCTGGCCTGCTCCCCTGCTGTGCTTTGGGGTTCCTGGCCAGCCCTGGCCCCTCACCTTGCACACAGGGAAAACACAGTGGAGAGACAAAGAGATACACCATTATGGGGTTGGCACTGACAAGTGGGACTGGCTCTTAAACTCTCCATCCCATGGCTTCAGGTGCCAGCCATGCTGAATGCTGCCTGGGACTAACAGGGAGGGCAACCCAACCCCGCTCCAGCTGAGGAGGTGAGAAGGTGGCTCTGCAGCTCCTGGCTGGAGCCCATGGCCCTTCCTGATGTCACCACATCTGGCTGCAGGGCTGACATGGGGTGCCCACATGGTGAGGGACCCAAATGCCACCCCAGCACCTCCATCCCCAGCATGCTGCAGCACCACTGGCGAGACCAGCCATGGCAAAGCCGTGGCTCAGTGCCTCCGCCCCAAAGGCAGCAGCTCCGTCCCCCTTCTCTCGCCTTCTTGCCATGTCTCAACCCTCGCTGGGATGCTGGCAGGGTCTGCGATGCCACTTGGTGGAGCTGCCAGCTCCGCAGCCACCTTCCACCAGCACCCGGCACCGCCAGCCCTGCAGCTGCTATCCATGGGCACCCGGCATCGTCAGCTCCGCAGCCACCTTCCACCGGCACCTGGCGCCTTCCTGGACATCTGGAGACACCAAGCAGCACACAGTATTGCTACTGTGCCAAGTGGGAACTTTATTCTTCGTTGTGGTTGGGGTTTTTTTCCTCTACTTTTTCCGAATCGGTTAAGGAGGCAGCTTTGAAGATGGGTTGGATTTGGATAATTCTTTTTTTTCCCAGCAAAATCTGCAACATTTTAATAGCGTTATGCCCAGACATCAGCTCTGTGAGTTTGTACAGCTCAGAGCCACGGAGACACCAGCAGCAATAACCTGGGAACGGAAAGACTTCCACATCGCTTGTGCATTGTCTCGGATTTTTTTTTCTTAAAAAAAAAAAAAAAAAAAAGCACAACAGAAAAGACACAAACATTGATGAACATTAAAAACCTGTACATTGTAAAAAAAAAAAACCAAAAAAAACCCCCAACAACAACAACAAAAAAAAAACAACCCCCAAACAAACAACAAACACCATCATTCTCTTGCTTTGAAATCAGAATCAACCTGGGAACGTTGCAGGGGGAAAAGAAAGATCCGTGGGGAAGGTGACGGCTCCGGCTGTGCCGCTGGGCCCGTGTGTGGGACATGGGGGCTGACGCCCACCCAGACAGGCTGGGCTGGGCTGGGGCTCCTCTAGCGCATAAAATGCAAAGCATTTAATACATTTTATTTCTTTTTTTTTTTTTTGCCATTTGTTTTTCCCCCCCAGAGCGAGAAAGCAGAAGTGAATGAAAAAAAAGTCTAATATTTTGTTCTTTAACCATGTAACTGCGGATATGAGCCAACATCATGGAATGAAAAAAATAATGTAAAGTAGAGCATTCGTGTGTATCACAAAAATACAATAAAAACTTTTTTTTTCCTTTTTTTTTCCTTTTTGTCTTTTTTTTTTTTTTTTTAAAGTTTCCTGTGAACTCCCTGCCACGCCGGTCTCATGCCCGCTCTGCCCCTGCCCCGGCCAGCTCGGAGGGCTCTGGAGAATCAACGTCTACAACCAGCAAAGGTGTGTGTAACGGGGGGCCCTGCAACCATGGCAAGATTTTGTTTGGTTTTTTTTTTTTTTTTAAACTAAGTACATACATTCTCCTGACTCCCAGATAACTTTGATGGATCACTGTTACCTTTTTTTTTTTTAAACCCTTCCATACAATGGACAAACGCATCAAAGCCTGCATGTAAGAACAGAACCTCTTTTACAGCATGTAATACTGTGTTTTGTTTAAGTCCTTCCTTGCGTAAAATATTGACATAATTCACTGAAGGTATCAAAAATATACCCTGTAGACCAATACAATTTACAATTGCCTTTTCTCACCATTCAGAAAACAATGCACTTAAAGCAACCGAGCCCCTCGGTGGGCAGCACATGAGCCAGCCCCGGGACGTCCCTGCCCGCTCCGAGTTACCCGGGATCGCTTCCACCGAAGGGACCAGGATTTTTTGTGGGTTTTTTTTAAGAAACAGCTCTTCACTCCCTCCCCTGCCCACTCATCCCAGCCACATTCAAAGTGTGTCGCTGTGGGGCTGATACGTCTTGTGACATGGGAATGACAGGCCACCAGCCCTCGGATCAGCTGGGGAACCAACCCAGGGTGTTCCGTCCCGTTTCGCTTCTTAAACCGTTTTTCTTTTCTTTAACCCGCTCCAGGTTTTGCATTTCTGTGGCACATCCCCATGGCTGGGATGTGGGGGAGCATCCCACAGCCCGTTGCACAACTCCGCAGGAGCATCCCGCGGCCCCTCGCTCGACTCCTTGGGAGCAATGCCACAGCCCCTTGCCCGACTCCGCGGAAAGGCGCCAAGCCAGAGGCGTCCGAGCCGCGGTACCGACCGGGACGGGCGCGTGGCAGCTCACAGTCCCTCTCGAGCACGGGGGTCACCGCCCAGCACGGCTGCCAAGATCGAAGATGGGTTCCTTGGGTTTTGTCTCGTTAAGGCTTTTTTCTTTTTCTTTTCTTTATCGGACCAAAGAGGATGCAGAAATTCCCAGATGTTGAGAAAGAAAAAAAATAACCCAAACAAACAAACAAAAATAATAATAATAATGAAAAAAAAAATAACACCCCCCCCTCCCCAAATTGGCTGGTTGGGGAGGAAGGGAAAAAATAAAGGAAAAGGGAAAAACGAAATAGCTCTGCTCCTACATCTTCGCTCGTGAGAGCCGGCGGGGCCGGGGCGGTGGGCACTCGCCCGGGGCGTCCCGCTTGCTCCCCACACCCTGGGTTTGGTCGCCGTCTCCCTGCCCCGGGCTCCTCTCATTCACTGTCCGAAAGGGTTTCGTACTGGGAGCAGAGCAGAGGCTTGGGCTCCTCGTCCCAGGCATGGTGCTGGCTGCTGGGGGTCCCCTGCGGCAGCGGGGCGGTGGGGGCTGCCGTCACCACCCCGCTGGGGAGCCGCATGGTGAGCGGGTTGTAGGGGAACGGCGTCGAACCTGCACGAGAGGAGGAAGCAGAGAGTCAGCGGTGGGGGGTGGCTGTTCCCGCATCCCCCTGCAGCCCCTCCACACCCCTGCGAGGGTGGCACGGCCACTCTGGGGACCCGTCCCCCGAGCCCTACCTGCGGACGACGGCCTGTCCTCCCAGACGCGGTTGGTGAGGGGTGTCCTGCGGTTGCAGTCCCCCTCCGAGTGCACCGAGGAGACCGAGGGCGGCCGCTCGCCCGAGGACAGACCCGGCGCCGGGGACTTGGCCTTGCGGCTGTTGGGCCTGGCAGCGATCTTTGGCTTCCCCCCTCCTCCTGCGAAAAGAAGCACCCGCTCGTCACCCGGCTCATCGTGACAGGATTCAGGGGATCAGGGAGGGGGTGCAGGTTCCCAGCGCTTCCCTTTTTAGGAGCTTGCAAAAATGGCTTGTGGCAGGAGAAAAGCTCACCCCGGCCGATGGCACCATGGGGGAAGGGCAATGGGGCAGGCAGGCACAGCAGACAGGAGGTCTCTCTCCCCTCCTGGGCTGCTCCGCCCTTTGGGTTGATGCCACCAACTGTCCCATGGAGGGACGTGGGGCAGGAGCAGCCACGTGGCTTTGGCCAAGCTATTTCTCTGCAGGGTCTGCTCCTGAGCCAGCTCAATGCTCAGCCCACAAAAATGGGTCATAGGACGGAGCTCCATGTGCTGCTCCATGTCCACAGGCAGTTGGCAGGGACCCTCCAGGAGCTACATGGGTGCTGGAGCCCCAGACACATTCTTCATTCCCATGGTCTACGTGCTAGGATGGTCTTTGATCCGTCCTTACAGTAGAATCCCTGGGGCTGTTTAGCCAGTTTTTAAAAGGTTTAAAGCCAAAGGGCCTCTGCCAGGGATGTGAGCCTGGATAAACCAGGGGGAGCTCCCCAAGGGGGAGGGATAGATGGGCTCTGCATCCCACCTCGCCTGGCCAGGCAGCCTCTGCCAGGCATGGGGAAACATGGCTGGAATAAGCTGCTGGTTTCATGCAGGAGCCAGAAAAGCTTTTCTGCAACAAGCTTTAGAGCGCTTGGTGTGAGCTGACCTGGAGGAAGGTGCACATGTGCGCCCAGGACACTGCTCCTGAGTCAGGGACTCTGTGCCTGGATTGCTGAGGGTGATCCCTAGCACTGGTGCCATGCTCTGTACAGGGGCCTTGCATGAGGCACTCTACCTTTAGGAAGCGTGCAGGGGACAAATGCTCCCTCGGATCAGCTGAATCCATTCCTGACCCCCCTCCTCCCTCCCTTCCTTAACTGGGGATCTGCTCAACAACCCTCCCAGATCTGCTCAAGTCCCCCTGAAGCTGAGCAGACCCCACCACGGGGCCCAGTGGGCTTTGCAAGGCCCCCACCAGGGCCCACAGGACAGCTCACTCCCAACCCTGCTCTCTTTATCATCTCATCTCCCATCTATCACTTTTAGCCCCCTTAAAAATCTCCCTCTTGCTCCAGGTGCTCCCAGATCCCATCAAACCTCCCGTGCCAGGCTGGATTCTGCCCTGACACCCCAAAGCCCGAGGTGGGGAGAGAATGCCACCCTGCCCTGTGTCCCCCACTCTGGTCCTTCTCAGCTCCTTCCTCTATTGTGGGAGCACTGGTCCCACCCAGGGTTTACAGATAGTTGGGGGTGGCTATTAAGGTTTATGGCTTTGATTTTTGGGTGGGGGCTTTTGCCCCCATAAACCTTTCCATTGTGTAAAAAAATATATATAGGAAAAAGAGATATTAAAAACCAACAAATGGGGAAAGGAGCAAGTCAGTGGTTTAGAGAAAGCAACAGCACCTTCGGAGACTATTAAATTAACATCAAACAAGACCAGGATTAATCAGCAGATTCACAAAGCTCAAAGCTGGGGGAGGGTGGGGAGAAAAGAAAATCAAAATGAACAAAAAATGGGGAAGGGGAGGAATAAATCCACCCGTCAAAGGGGAAATATAAAGGCTGAGAATTAATAACACAGAGAGAGCGAAGGTGGAGAGGGCTGCAGACCTGGCAAGGAGCGCACGTCCTCGTTTCGTCCATCAGCAGGAGTTATGGGCATAGCAGCGGGCAGGCTTGCACTGGCATTCAGAGAGTTAAAAGCATTGGCACTGAGAGGTGAGCGCTCTTCCCACTGCTCGTCATATTTACCCATTAGGGCTTTCCTAATTATTGCCTCCAACCCCATGTTGGTACTGGAATTCTCTTGGACCGACTGGCTCCTACAACTGATTAGCCCTGGGAGATACGGGAGAGGGAGGAGAGAGGGGACGGGAGATGGGGGGGAGCCAAATGAGAAGAAAGATGGGGGGGACGGGGAAAGGGGGAGAAAGGAGACAAGGGAGAAGGGAAGAAACAAACAGTCAGCACATTCTCGCAAAGCAACAAACTTTGTCATCTTGTTCTTTAAAGCGCTGCGATGCACCCGTCCTCCTCCTCCTCCTCCTCCGCCCGCTCCATCCCGCCCCGGGGCTCAGCAGGGGCTGGCAGTGGGACGGATGAGACTCACTCTGGGATTATAGGGGTTTTGGGAGGGTTCCCTGGGGCCAGGAGATGGGAGAATGGGGGAGTAAGGGTTTGTTGTTGATCCCCAGGGAGCAGCTGCAAGAAACAGGGGCTGCACTCCCAACATGGGAGGCATGGGGGGCAGGAAGAATGTCACCTGGATGTGGGATCCATATGCACACACAGCAAAAGTCGGTGTGCCAAGAATATGGAGGCTGGGACAGTTTCCCATAAAGGAAGTCACGGGGAAGAAGGGTGAGTACCCCATAAAAACACTCGATCAGAAAGAAGGGCCTGGATTTGGCCCTGGCATCAGAGGTGGCAAATGCAGGTAGCTCCCGGAGGAGAGCACGCAGCCCATGGAGCTGCCTGTGCGGGGTAGGGTGATGTGGGGAGAGGGGAGCGCCCTTTTGTCCCTCCTCGCGCTCTTTGCAAGCCCCCTGCCCACTGCCCCAGCCCTCCCTTCCCCCTCCAGGCCAGGTGCCCAGGTGGGCCAGAGGCCCCCGGGCTGAGCCATGGCTACGGGACAGGATGCAGAGGCGCAGTGGTGTCCGCGTGGGTGTGAGTCTCAAGCCATGCAGTTATGGAGCAGCACCGCACAGGGACCGAGGCTCAGCCACGCCACCATCATTCCCGGGGTGGCGGTTACAGGGAACAAGCAAGGGCAAAATACAGACACGAAACTGCCAGGCACCCCAGCTCGCCCCATCCTGAGGTGTTCCTTTTGGGATCGCCGCCCTTCTGCTCAGAAAGGGACGGATCCCAGGTTCCTGTAAACCTGGTTTGGACATTTGTCTCTCCGTACATGGGCAGGGTCTCTCCTGGTCCCCTCTGGCCAGAACTGACCCCCAAATTTTGGCTGCCAGGGACCCTCAGGTCCCACCTGGCTGTACCCGCTCATCCCAGCAGATGATGTCAGCTGGCTCCTTCTCCCAAACACATTCCCACGGGTGAGCAGTCTTACACCACTGGCCCTCCTGCTTCACCAAGCCCCTGCCCACAGCACCTCCTGCCCTTGGCTGTGGGAAGGCTGCTGTTCTCCTACTTAAAACTAACAACCCAAAAGCATTCCTGCTGTAGGAGAGCATTAATCCTTAATGAATTAAGTACCAATTAGTATTCCTCAATGGGGATTCATGTCATTCATTTGAGAGCCCACCTGGACATGTTGCAGGCAGTAACAGCACAACAGCATTCCCACTGTCATTTCCCCTTGGGCTGGTCATGTTCCTCTGCCCCTCTCCATGTCTCAGCCATGTCCCCTTTTGGTCCTCAGCCATTGCCAGTTTGCCCAGCACAGGGTGCTGCTCTCATCCCAGTTTGCTTTTGCAACTGGTTCCTGCCTCGTGCCCATCCTGCAGAGCACAGACCCTGCTCCCCACCCTCACGTTCCCCTTTGCTGCTGCCCTCCCACCCACCCATGGCTGACCAGAAGGTCCCACCAAGAGCATGGTGCTCTCTCCTGCTGTGAGGTCCACCTTGCTATGGTTTAACCCTCTGTTGGCATCAGATGACTTGACTTTTAACCTCTCCTCAAATTCTGCCAGATTTTCTGAGGAATTACACTGCCCTGTTTCCAACCCAACAGTAGAGTTATGGTGTGTCCTGAGGTTTCTGCCTCCCAGCAACTGTTATGCTTGGTCTTATGGGGCAAGGAGAAAAGGAGATGCTTAAATCTACCAAACCTCCTGCTCTCCATGCCTGTAAGCCCTGTGGGGAATGAGGTATGGGTATGTGGGGGATTTACCTGCTCCTGTAATCGCTGGCATGTTGAAAATCTCTGTCCCAGGCTGCCCAACATCTGGAGAAAAACAAAGAAGCTCTTCAGTATGGAGAGCAGCATGTGCAGGCTGGTGGCAGGGAGGACCTGCTGTGCCACCCATGACAAGATTCCCATGTTCCTGTCATGGCACCCAGCCTGACAGCAGCCCACCTCCCCCAGGCACTGGGGTGGGTCTGTGGGTGCTGGCTGGGACCAGGAACAACTCCCAGTACCTTTGGGAGATCCACAGCGGGTACCTTTTTCAGGTGGAAAGAGCAGAAAAGCAGAGCCCAGAAAGCCAGGGCAATGTCTTTGTGCTCAGTGTTGGCCTCCCTCCTTTTCTCCCTCCTGCCCTTGGGATTACAAGCTCCATGAAGCCAAACTCTCTCTCCTGCCTATGGGATTTCCAAAGGCTGAATACCCCCTATCCAGGGAGCAGGTCTGGGCAGTGGGGAGGGCGAGGAGGAGGAGAAGAAATGTTAAATCAATATTTTCCCTCTTAGCTGAGCTGTTTGACTTGGATATCGTTTTCCTTAGAATAACGGAAATTCTCATCAAATAAGAGGAGTATCCTATTTCTATATATTTTCCCTTGATAAGGAAAAGTGTGGAAGGTCACAGGGTTCAGCCACGTGTCCCCAAAGGGGCATAACAATACTGTTGGCTCATGGTAACATCAGCCAGGAGACGAGACAGCTCGGTCCCTCTTATCCGATGCAGCTGTTGTAAGATGGATTCAAATTGAATTAGTATTGACTGTATAATGCTGGGCTAAATTAAATTATGATCCTATCTACTCTATTAGCGGTTAATGAATGAATGGGCTGAATTTCTAATCTAAGCCAGCCTGGTTAGTTTTACAGAGCTGCACCAATATTGACATAGGGCTTAAAGTAATGCTGGGGGGAGATGCATCCCAAGGAGGAAGGATTCAGCTTGGCTGGCCATTCATTAAAATATCAATTAAGTCTCTTTAAGTCTCCTCCATGCTCAGCTCATTATTTCCTTCCTATTTAGTTTATCTGGTGTGGGTGGCATTGGCAGCCCCAGAGCATGAAAACACAGGGTGGGAAGACCCCAGCGCCTCCCTGGAGTCCAACTCTTAAGTGCAGATGGAGCAGGCTGGGAGCTCCCAGCCCTTAACACAGCAGCACCCATTCCCAAATTTTCTTTGCTTCCTGCGTCCTTGAGGTTTTTCCCCACCAGTGCCCTCCATTTGTTCTCCCCACTGGTCCTTACTGTACTCTGTCTCGTTTTTGTTGGTCGTGCTGAGCTTCTTGATGATTTCCTGTTTCTTGGACTTCACCATGGCAGAGTTGCTCTCAGTCAGCTTGCTGAAGAAAGCTGGAGGCTGAGTGTTGTTTCCTGGGGACTTGGACCCCATCCTGCAAAGCAAAAGACCATTGGAAACCTCTGCAACGTCCAGTGCACAAAGTCCTACCTAGAGAGCCTCTGCCCTTGGTGTAACTGCTCAGAGTCAGCCTGGGCACTCCTGTGATACTCAGGATCTCCAACCTCTCTCCCTATCCCAACTGTGTTGAAAAGCCTCTACAAGCAAGCAGCACCCTGAGATGGGACACTGCTTCTGTCAGCAAGGAAAGGAGCCTGAGCCAGGGGACGTGTGGGGGCATCCCCATCCTCAGCTGCCTCCAGCGCCTGCTCCTGGGCGGTACCTCTGGTCCATGGGCTCTCCCTCGCGGAACAGGACGGGGTAAGGGGCGCTCTTGGCGTGTTCTGCTTCTCCCACGCCGTCTGGTGGAGACACCGGCTCGATACAGCTGTCAGCCCCGCCGGCCGCGGCTTTGCCCTGCTCCGGGGACCTGCGGAGCAACGGGAACATGCCATCGGTTCTGTCCCTGCAGCAGCTTGGGGTTGAGAGAGGTAAAACGGCCAAAACCGTTTTCCTACAGCAGGGAAAACAGCCAAACCTTTCACATCCTGTGGACTCCTAGTGCCTCCTAACACGGGCCAGAGGGAGAGACCAGCCTGGGCGTGCAGAGCCGGGCTGAGCCAAACCATGGCCCCGATCCCCCGCCACCCCAAACACAACTGCCCAGCAGGGATGAGGGACCAGTCCCGGGACCTGTCAGCTCAGGAGTGTCCCTGGCTGGCAGAGGGCTGTGACATTAACCCTTTGGGGACATGGATTTTGATTCTCCATCGTATCTGTGAACACAGTGGAGACAGCACCCGCCACCCCTCATGCACCTTGTCAGGGCCACACAGGGGCTGGCTGCAGGAGGGGGTCTGGAGCTGGGGCAGCTCAGAAAGCATCAACACTGGCCCCCGATGCCTGCCTGTGGCCAGAGCCTGGGAGACAGCCAGGCTCGAGTCTGCGAGGAATTTCGCACAGCAAGTTCTGGGAATTTACATCTTTATTCTTTCTGTGGTTTCTCTTCTTTTTCCTGTTTTTTTCATCACTGGGTGGTCAGGGCTGGGCTCTCTCCTTTCATGTTATAAAGCCAACTCTAGGACCAGGCAGAGCTGGGAAGAATAATCCCATTTACTGACAAGGAACCACCAGTCTGGAGGCACCACTCATTCCTGGATGCATTTGGGTCTCTGTGGCTGTTTGGGTGGGAGGACAGACCCATTTTTTAATTCCAGACAACAGCAATCAGACCTGCCTTGTAGCTGCACAGGGATTTGAAAGTGACTTTAAAACAAGTACAGGTGGTGCCTGAAATGGACAGTTACAGCTGTCAAGGCACTTGTGTCTAACGAACTTCTAATTCACTGAGAAAGATAAAGATACCATTAACTTTGAATCATAGAAAACACGCTGCTTTGGGTTTTTTAAAACCATCTGGTCAGGGACTGAGAACCATGTGGTCAGGGACTGAGAACAGTGACAGGACAAGAGATGAGAGGCACGAACAAAACACAAGAAATTCCATCCCAACATAAGGAAACACTTTTTTCCTGTGAGGGTGCTCCAATGCTGGGACAGGGTGGCCAGAGAGGTGTTGAAGTCTCCCTCAGTGGAGATATTCAGAACCTAACTGGCCATGACTCAGGGTAACCTGCTCAAGAGCTCCTTTCCACCTAAACTATCCTTTGACACCTGCTAGATCATGAAGGAGATCATGCATGGACGTTATGGGGGTCTAAAGAGCACTTTGAGGACAACAGGTATGGCAAGAGGCACCAGCACAGAGAAAAGAGGCCTAGCTCAGAAAGCAGTTTTACACTCTGGGCTGTGTAAGCAGGGAATTCACACAGCACCAAGCCTGGGAGCATAAATTCAGCAATGCCAAATGCCAGCCTGTCCAATGCACCCCCTTACCAGGCCACCTGCCCAGCTCTTCGCCCTGCGCAGCCCGGGTCCACCTGAACTGAGACTGGCACAAGTTGCCCTGTGCCAGCTCGGGTGGGACTCTCTGAGCTCACCTTTTGCCACCTTCGTTCTGCGGGGAGATCCGTGAGGCCGCCGTGTGCTCCGGCTGCTGCAGGTAGGCCTCGCTGGGGGTGCGGCGCAGGTCCAGCACCGGGCAGGCCGCCCCGGGGAAGGAGTACACCGGCGCCTGGATGTGCGAGTTGAGCTGCTGCGGGTGGTGGCGCGTGTAGTCCTGCGTGATGACCTCCTAAAGAAGAAACCCCCCCCGAGTCAGAAATAGAGCTGGTTTCTACCTTTGCTCTGCTGGGCCCAACTAAGAGGGCAAGCAGGAGGGAAACAGGCTGGTTTGTCCCTGCAGATGCAACATCTGCCTCCTGTCATGATGGGTTCCTTGGGGACCCAAACACCCAGGCTGAACACCCCTGATGCCCCCTGCTCTCCAGCCCCCAAACAGAGGTGTTGAGGTGTCCAGCATCACTCCCATCCCGTCCCCACCAGGCGTGTTTCATTTGGCTTGTCCCTCCTCCCCGGAGCCCCAGCAGGAAGGTGAAGGAGGAGAATGAGGTTAGTTACACTGATGTGCTGGGCCAGTGTGACCACCCGCTGGTTCATGCCCTTGGTGCTCTGCAGGGGCTGGCACTGGGGGCCGTCGGGCTGCCGAAGGTGCTGCAGGTGGGCGGCTTCGGGAGCCGAGCCCTTCAGCGAGCCTGGGGGGCACAAAGAAGACAACAGGCATGAGATGATGTCTGTGACCCCTTCCTTGAATGCCATCCCAGCACTGGGACACAGCAAGCAAAATCTGGATGAAGAAGACCCCCATGCCAGCTCAGGCTCTCCTGCGCCAGATGGCACTGCCATTCCCTGTCCTCACCTTGCTGTTTCTGCCTCAGGTCATGCTCCCCGTGCCCCTTCTCTGCATCCTGTAGCAGCTTGGCCCCTTTCTCATGTGACAGGCTGGGTGAGCTCACGGGACTCACTGCTTCCATCCGCTCAGGGCTGTAGCCTCCGTGAAAACCTGGGGAAAGGGGAGAACACAGTTAAAACCAGAAGCTTGCTTGGCTTTTCCCTGGTGCTGTGGCACTATTGCTTCTGGGCAGAGTCACATTTTCAGCAAAGGAGGGAAAAAAAGATTGGGGTAGAGCTGGCAGGTCACGCTGCAGGGACCCCTGGAGCCACCTCTGATGTCCAGCTGTGGTCATGGCTGCAGTGAAGAGGTGGTATCTTGTTCAAGCACAGCTGGACACTCAGCAGCTTATGGTGACACTTGAGTGTCAGGGACCAAATTCATCCCCTGTGGGTTCCCAACTTGTTCCCTCCCATTCCCCACCCCCTAAAACCTCCTCTATGCCCAGAGGGACTGAGATGCTCAGCAGGAGTGGAGGTGGCCGCACAAGAGGTCTCCAAGTGCTTTACAAAGAAAAGCCCCAAGCCCAGCATGGCCAAGACCAGGGACTTGAAAACTGGATGTGAGGCCCTGGAGACTCCAGATCTTGCTCCAGAGACAGTGGATGCACACACTGCAGGGGCAAAATTTGACCATTCTCTGCCTTTTAAGGCCTTTCATAGACTCATAGAATCATTTATGAAGGTTGGAAAGGACCTCTAAGCTCATTGAGTCCAACCATTACCCTAACACTGACAAGTCTACCAAGTCCACCTCTGCAGAGACTCAAGCTGCATTAAAACAGGCAGAGCTGGAATGAGGAACCACCATCACCTTTCAACAGGGAGTGGAAACTGAGGCCCAGTGGGTTATGCTTCTGCAGAGCAGGGGTGGAGGGTGGAGGGGCCCTGGAGGAGGCAAATGCTGCCTCTCACCAGCCAAGCACGTTTGTTAACACAACTTCTGCCTCTGCAGACCTTTACCCTCCTAATGCTCCATTCCTTGAGACTGCCCACAGCAGGCACATCTGGCAGAGGATCCACAGCACTGCTGGAGGGTCCCTGGTGCCCAGGCACAGACACATTGACTCTGCCCCTACCTGAGGCACGGGGAGGGAGAGAAGTCCATGGAGAACCTCCCTGCACCAGGAACAGGGATGCAGCATCCCCCATCACCCCATATGTGCCAGCACCCACATGACCACACTTTGGATCCGCCCAAGATGGAGTATCCTGCTCTAGAAAGATCCCTAGCCAACAGTGAGGTCCTGAGGAATGCCAGCTCCTTTCTGTAAGGTCATGGCCATAGAAGAGATGTCCTCTCCACAGCACAACATGCAACTGGAGGAAACACTGGTGCCAGGGAAGAAGGTGGAGGAGAGCTCAGCCAGAGCCACGTCCTTGGTCCTGGAATGTACTGCTAGAAGAGGCAGGGACCAGATGTGACCAAGCAGTGGGCTGGGTGGGTCAGGATGTGCCAGTGAGAGCAGCTCTTCTGCCTGGCTACAGTACAGTGTCCACTCCACCCTTGGGTTACAGGAAGGGGAGTGGGGCAGCAACTCCCAGTGCTGATGGTCAAAGCAGATGCTGCAACTTGAAGACAAGGTCCCACCAAATCCCCAAGGCTGTCTGTTGCTTTTTCATGCTGATGGGAGCCTGGATGCATGCTCTGGGTGAAGGCTGGTCCCATCAAGAATGACCCGGACCTTAAATCCAGCCCCCTTCCTGCACTTTCTTTTGGAATAACTAAACCCAGCGCTTTTGTGTCCTACACAAGATTTCTATTAAGTGGTTCTTGTGGTCTGCTCTGGAAACGGCTGCTGAGCACGGGTGGGCTGATTGATCCCAGGACAGCCACGTCCATGGTGCCCACATTGGGCAGCATCCAGCACCAGGACCCTTACTGAGGTCACCCCAAGCAAGGGGACCCCATCCACACTGAGACCCACAAAGCCCTCTGAGATCCTGCAGCTCATGAGCAGTAAGATGTGTGTCTGAGGGCCAGCAGCCCTGTCACACTCACAGTCCCAGTTCTCCGCTTTGCTCGTTTGATTTATTACCCACAACTGTCCCTTACAGACTGCCTGGGAATTTCTAAGGATGGGGAAATCAAAATTAGCAAATGGCTATTGTCTGTAAAAAGCAATACCAGGAACTGCACGATGTTTGCAAAACAGGACTTGGCAATGGGAAAAACTAAAATATGGTGGGAGAAGGAAGATCCTTAAGACACACAAAAATAAAAAAGTCTGGAATAACACAACAACTGGAAAGCAGAGGGACAAGCACATTTGGGGAGCTGATGAAGCCAGTAGCCAAAATGTGTAACTAAAAATAAGAAATAATGAAACATAATGGGTGTCAGGCCACAGCTCTCTCACCTCTCCCCTCCAACTTCTTACCATCACTAGTGCAGTCGTTACTCAGCGAGCCTCTTTCTCGCTGCCCCGTATAGCAAGACATTTGGCACATGACAATCACACCTATGAAGTTGGCTGCTGTCGTGGTGGTCTTACCGAGTGCTCGGAGCTCCTGCTCCTGCATGGAAAAGCGTTTACTTTGACTCTTTTCTCTACTGTGCTGCTCGGAGCCTGAGGCTGCATGCTGCTGGTCCAGAGGGTGGTGGTGCTGCTGGCTTTTCCCCTGTCCTCTGCCATAGTGATGAGAAGAACCAGGTCCGGAGGCAGGCAAAGGTCTTGACTCCATGGCTTTAATGGGCGAAGGCGACTGTTCGAGGTTGGCCCCACTGGGCAGCTTTGAGGTGTAGATGTTGTTGTCAGTCTGGGCTCGTTCTGTCTTGGCTTCCCGCACCCTCGAGGCCTCTTTCTGCAGGATGGCCGGGTCCAGCGGGGCTGCGTAGCCGTCGGCCGCGCTGAGGGAGGAGCGCAGGGTAGAGGCCGAGGGGAAGGCGGTGGAGCGGATTGGTGATGTGGTAGTGGTGGAGGAGGTTCTGGAAGGAAAATGGAGACAAGGCCAAGATGAGAGAAGCACATGAGAAAAGGAATGCTGTTACCAGAGCCTCAGTGTCCAGCCTTGCCTGGCCAAGCTTTTTCCAGGGCTCCCGAGTGTAGGGTTGGCCTGTGCTGAGGCCAGCGAGGAGGGCTTGGATGGAGCCTCCACCATAGTAACTGGCCACAGGGTTATTGGGCCTGGATGACTGGAGAGCATAAAATCCATGGACAGGTCCCAGAGACCTTCATAACTCACCACCAGGCAACCTTCAGCAAGAGGAGCAATACCTGTATTTGGGCACAGGCACGCTCCTGGTTTCTTTCCTGGCAGCAGGAAAAGTCACTAAAGAAAGCAAAGGAATTGGGCACCAAAACCTGCCTCTCCCCATCACAACTTCCCTGGAAGCCCCACTCCTGTTCCCACTGAGACTGAAGGCCAAAACAGCCCTCTCTCCATCCCCATGGCTCGTTATAATTAATTGCCACAGTGGCACAGTGACAGGAGCCGTGGCAGGGGGACGTACCGCAGGACGGAAGGGGTGGGGGTCTCCGAGGAGATGATCTTCATGCTCGTGTTGTGGAGCACACTGGGGCGCTGCTGGATGGTCTCGTGGGTGCGGGGTGAGACGGGAGACTGCTGGTGGCTGTGAGAGTGGGAGGACGAACGGCTGCTGGACTGCTCCGTACCTGGGGCACAACACAAGGAATGGTTTCTTTAGCCCTTCATCCTATAGCCCCACCTACCTCCACCCAGCACAGGCCCCAAGGTGTGGTGCTGGACTCTTGCCTGGCCTACCTGGTCTCCAGATGGGCGCATGCTCCACCGTGGTGGATGCTAGGATGGATTTTTCACGCTCCCTCTCCCGCTCCCGTTCCCGCTCCCGTTCCCGTTCGGACACCGACGATCCCGACTGTTTGGTCATGTGCGTGGGGCCTCCTGAAACCCAACCGAAAGGCAGTGAGGTGGCTGCAGACACAGCAATTCCCCTGGGAACGCTGCCTGCTCTTCACATCGCTGTGTCTGCAGAGCAGATAAGGAACAGCTCCATCCAAGGTCACCTGGAGCAGGACAGATGAGGGCAACCAGCGTGACAAAGCCCAGACAAATCATGGAATAGCTGTCCTGGCGCCACCTCTGGAGTATGACCTTCCACAGAGCTGTTTGCCAGCTGCCACTCTGGGGAAGAAGGGGGAAAAGCAGGGAAGCCCCCAACAAGCAGGGAGGGAGGGAGTCAGTGGACTGGTCACTGAGTGAGAATTAATTTGGGGTCTCCCCACCTGCCCTGGCACGCTGAGCCCATGGCCCTGGATTGATTAAGAGTGTCCTGCTCAACCATTTTCCCCTGGGAAAAGCAACCTGCAGTGTTACCTGGGGAGAGTGGGGAGCTGCTGTGCCGACTGCCAAAGGTCTGGGGGGGCCCAGGGATGTAGGTGATGCGGTCCATGGTTGGGGCAGAGGTGCCAGGGGTAGGGGGCACGAGGACAGGCAGGTGTGGCACTTGGGACAGGTCGATGATGCCTGGAAAGAGAAGTGAGAGGACCGTCAGGACAATGCCGAGCTGCGGCAGCTTGGCCATGCTGGAGCTGTCAGTGCTGGCCTGACCAAGCCTCCTCCTCCCAAACTTCCCCCAAGCCCCTGGACAGTGCCGTGCCGGGAGCACCTGCTGCATAGTTGAGGGCGAGGGAGGGCTCCCGGGGCGACAGGCCGCGCAGCATGTCCGCCCGCTGCGCCATGGCCGTGGCTGCGGCGTTGTGGTGCATCTGCTGGGACGTGATGTAGTCGTTGATGATGGTCTGTCGGTTCTCCATGGCCGCCGTGTCCGGGTAGCCCCGGATGAGGTACGGGGGGTACAGGTGGGGGTACGTGGGGCTCGGAGCCAGATGCCTTGGCAAGTAGTAAGCAGCAGCTGGGAGAGAAAGGGATGCAGATGTGATGTGGCTTTCCCCAGAGACCTCTGGCTTTCAGAGCATAGCAAGGAAAAAAAAACAATCCCAGACAGACTGTGCCCACAACAAAGGTACCTGCTTCCAGTTGGATTCCCCTGGGGATGGCGGCGGGGTCAAAAGGCAGCGGGATGTGTCCTCGGTACAGATCGACCCCGCTCACACCGCGGAGCAGGTGCTCGTACGGGGAAATGGGGTGGTGGTGGTCAGGCACAGGGGCGTGCGGAGACTTGGAGTTGGTGAGCTCTCTCGATGTGGGGGTGATCTTTCTGTCCTGGGACACCGGCTTCCCAGCAGTGATGCTCCCTGCAGTAAGCAGAAGGAAGTGAGTCAGAGACTGAGTGCCATGGCCAAGTCATGTCCCCGAGGGATGCCTGCGGCCAAGCGTGTCCTCCAGGGACACTCGTAGCTACCCTGAACTCAAGGGAACTTTCCCCTCCCTGCTCTCTGCACTGCCATGCCCTGTTACACCACCAAGATCAAGGCAGGCCAAGTCCCAGTCGCCCTTGGGAGAGAGGCCTTTCCCAAACCACCCCTCTACCCCAGCACATCCATGCTGGGCGGTCTGTGCATTCATCCTGGCCCGCACAAGCAGCCGGTGCTGGAGCCCTCCCTGCGCTCCTCGGACAGAGGTCACAGCTGCTGGGCAGAGATGGGGACCCTGAAACCCCTGGCAAGGGTGATGAAATATAGTTCAGTGTGTTTTGAGTACTTGTCATTCCCTGGAGCCAAAAACTCTTTCCCAGCACACAGAGGGGAGGTTGGATCATGTTAGGGACTTCTCCCGGCTCTCCCAACCTGAGCTGGGCACTGGGGGCACTTCTCATCCAACCTGAAACAAGTGTCACCAGCTCCTGTGTCCAAGCCCACAGGATGGGGACAGTGGCTGGCACAGTCACCCCAAGCAGTGTGACCAACCCCCTTGCACCAGACTGCACACCAAATGCTGCCTGGGTATTCCTGCTGGCTGGGGAGGCACATCCCAGACTCAGTTTTTGGCAGACTGTGATGTCTTGTGTTGCACACTCCCACATCACAGGACTCTTGGATTAGGACATGGATTTGCGGGTGGGAGATGCAAAAGGCTCTGAAGCAGTTACCCATAGCCAGCAGGCTTGTTTGGGCAAGGTGTATTAGGGACTGGCTTCTGCACTGATCCTGCCCACAAATGTGCCATGAAGTAAGAGAGTTGTTTGTGCTCTGGATCTGAATGTGTCTTACCAGACCACTGAGCCCAGCCCAGACATGTGCCTGCTCCTGGGGAGCCCAGGTCTGACTCTGGGAGCAGGAGATGACCAATGCCAGGGCACACAGATGGGCAGGGGAGATGTCAGAGCATAAAGACCATCCCACTGCCTGGACCCACTGACTCAGAAGGGATTAGATGTTCCTGGAGGTGAGGCACTCAGGTGCCCAAGAGATGGATGAGATGGGCAAACACATATCAGGCTGGTGAGAAGTGTGAAGATCCCCCACCCAGTACCCCAAGCACTGCTTTCCTGCCCACCTGTGGAAAACAGAGTGCCGTGGGCCAATGCTGGGACAGGGAAGACGCTTTTAAAATACCAAAGGCTTCACCAGCCACAGCTCAAGTCTCCCTTTGGTTACCCTGGTGCAGGTGAGGTGCCCTCACTTCAACCATGTGAGCACCTCCAGGAAGGGTGCTGAGCCCCAGCTGTGCCTGGCAGCCACCCCAGTGCTGTGAGTCAGTTGTAGGTGCAGGGAAGAACGGGTTCAACAGGGACCTGCTGGGAACAGCTCGGGCAGGTGGGGTCAGCAGCTGCCTCCTGCGCACCTCCCCTGCTCGGCTGCTACGAACTGGAGCATCAAATAAAAGGTTTGCCAAGTACCTTCGTGCTGCCGTGGCGTGGACTCCCGTGTGGAGACTGGAGACCCTCTGTGCAAGTGGCTGCTGAAGGCGGTGCTGTGCCCTGCCTGGTGGTCCTCATAGCCGAGGGCACTTTGGTGGGCCTTGCTCGGCTCTGGTACAATCACAGGAGCCCCTCTGGCAATGGAGCCACCCGAGTTTGTCACTGGGCTTGGCCTGTTTTTCAGGCTCTCTTCATAAGCTCTCTCCAGATTCCTCGGGTCTTGGATGACATCCAGTGAGTGCACAGAGTGAAAAGTCCTGCCGGGACTGCCGATGATGGACCGCACGTCATGCTTTTTGGTACTTGAGGAAGAAGAGCTGCTGTCATACTTCAGTGGGGTACCCTGGGGACAGGAGGCAGAGGAGACATCAAAGAGGCATAGAGCAGAAGGGGATGCAGCGATCGCATCCCACCGAGTTTCAAGGAGACTCCTGAGTCCTCATTCAGTGGGTCAATACATCAATAAAGCTTCCTTGGGCAAACAGCAACAGCCATCAGAAGAGCACAGAACCATTCTGCACGGCACGGGGCAGGGTGGAGTGCCCATCTTGCATGTCTTGTTGTGCTCCAACAAGATGATGATGAGTCACTGCTGAAGGCTGGCTGTGCCCATCACGCCTCTCTCCTACACACACAGTGAAATGGGGTAGGACTACAAGGTGCCATGGGAACCCTGCAAATATTTGGAGCCCAACAGGAGATAGTTTCATCCTAACTACTGGCCCTGCTGGGTTGCCACTTGCCCATAAAGGGAGGAGACCAAGTTTATTTGCACCCTGAGTTACAACTGCCAAGGGCACAGAGTTGACTTTGGCCTTGAAAGAGAGGTAAATGTGTCCCTTTCCATTTACACGTGTAGCTGGAGCACTGTTTTCTTAATGTGCAAGGGGGTTCCCTGGGTTTTGTGTTTATCCACTAGGAAGGATCATAAGATGGCTTGGATTGGAAAGTGCAGTGGGTTTCTGTGGCTGGGTTTTTGGTAGCGAGGGGGGGGCTACAGGAGTGGCTTCTGTTAGAAGCTGCTAGAAGCTTCCCCTGTTCTGTGGAGTCAATGCCAGTCGGCTCCCGGACAGAGTTCCTGCCACTGGCCAAAGCTGAGCCAACTAGAAGTAATAGCAATGCCTCTGTGATAACATATTTAAGAACAAAAGATTGTTTCGCAGAAGAATTCCAGACAGGGAAGAGCGGAGTGAGAACATGGGAGCTTTGAGTCTTGTTTTGCCTGTGAAGGTAATCAGTCACTGACCTCTCCCAGCTCTTATCTCTACTCATGAATTCTTAGCTGTTTTTTTTCTCTCTCCTCTGTCCAGTTGCAGAGGGAGGGTGAGAGAGTGTCTTTAGTGGGTACCTGGTATCTGACCAGGGTCAACCCACTACAAAAGGATCCTGCCAAAGATGGGGCAGGACAACCTGTACCCAAGCAGAGCCTCGAGTCTAACCAGCAATGCATCCCCAAGCTGTCTCTGCTCTCCTTTTACCTTGGGAATGGTCCCCAGGATCTGTGCAAAGACAGCAGCCTGAGTAGAGCTGATCACATCTGCTGTTCATTCCACACTCACCTGCGTGATGGAACCTTCCTTCAGAGGTCTTGTCAGAGAGATGTCCGGTGTCCGCCTCAGCTCCTCACGGGGAATCTCATGGATTGATCTTCCTGCTTCTTTCACCGTGGCTACCAAGTCTTCATGGGCTGATTTCATTTTCAGAGGAGTAAGGCCCTCGTGAGATCTGACCTTGTAGGCATCAGATAAGTCCCTCGGTGGAGTGTTTTCCCTCTTGAGCTGTTTGGCTTCTCTTCTGAGGTAGTCCTCATGGGCCTCCACATAGGACCGAGGTATTCCTGCAACCCCCAAGCACATGATGGATGCAGAGGGAGATTCCCCAGCCAGATGCTGGACTCCCACTCCCCATGCAGATGCTCACTTCAAGGGGGTCTCTAGTTAACACATGTAACTCAGGGACTAGTACCCAACTAAGCACACAGAGCAGCTGGACCACCTCAACATCTCCCACCACTTTCTGGACCCATTTCACACTGACTTCAATCTGTTCCATGTGAATCACTGACAATTTTGTCCTTGAATTGGGCAGAATTTAGGTTGGTGGAAACTGAGCAAGACTAAAAATCTCTCTGAGCACATGGCAGGGGGCTGCAAAAATTTGCAGCTGGACCTTGATGTGTCCATCCTTGTTTCCTCCTGTCCTACCCTGACAAAAAGAACAAGGGGCCATCCATGGAGATGCTTCCCCATGTTACCTCTGTCTGTGCCCTTCTGTTTGCAGGTTTTACCTTGTGTAATCGAGCCCCTCATGTGATGCTGCTCCTTCAGGTTATGGGGACTGTGTCGGTCTGGAGGGATCGCTCGACCCATGAGACCTAGAACAGATCCAAGAGGGAAAGTTGGGTTGTGACACAGGAGTTAATTTACAATGAATACACAATAGTGTTACCAGGGATTCCCGGGACAAGAAAAAACATAATTTCTAAATGATTTATTTCTCTCTTTTTTTTAAAATGTGCTTATTTTTAACCTATTCCTGAAACTGGTCTGCCAGGACAGAAACCAAAGGGAAATGGGTCAGTCTGTGCCCCCTGTCTTCCCATGCTGGTTGGATGCTGTTGGGATGTGCTGCAGGATACCAGCTAACCACTGACAAAACACCGGCACAAGAAGGTACATCATGTAGACAAGAGACAAGATGGGGTTTCCACGGGTCACTAACAAAACACAAGTGAAAGGTTTCACCCAGACCCACCTTCAATGCTGGCAGATAAGGTATCACGGGCTGATAAGCCCCGGCTGATCCTCCCCTCCATCATATCATAGGTCCGCTTAGTTCCTGTGGTCTCATGGGAAGCTCCCGAGCTCCTGCTGTCTTCTTTGGGACACTGAGAAGCAGCAACTCCACCTGGTGAAGGGAACATCAAGAGGCACCATCATCAGCATGGAAAGTCAGCAAGGGCCAAGGGAGGGTGTTTACTGCTGTTTGTGTGCGTTGCTGAGAGGTCAGATCCCACCCCAGCATCAGCCACCGCTCTGCAGTGCCAGAAATATTGCATAGGATTGGCTTCCAGGAAATTCAGTTGGTGTTTTCTCCCCTCCCTGCCTGCCTCAGACTCCAGATCTGTGCCTCCAGCTTGGGTAGGAGCATCCACCCTGACATGTCCCACTCCCTCCTTCCCTTTCCAGTGGGACCATCACGTAGGCAGTGGGACAGCCTGGAGCCAGTGTGGCATAGGCGGGACCAGCTGTGGTTCCCCTGGACTTGGCCCTCTGGGTCTGGAGAGTTTTGGTTTTTTTCCCCTGTTTGTTTTGATTTTTGCTAGACACCTACTGTTTGGGATCTTGGCCAGCCTTAACATTTGCCGAGACACTCCCTGGGTGAGAAAATCAGGGAAAATGGCAGAGAGGCAAAGCTGAGAATGATTACTTTGACACAGTGGGGAGCACACGTAAGAACTGGGAGAAATGGTGGAAAGTCCCATGTGGGACTGATAGCAAGTGCTACTGTGAGCAGAGATCACTTACTATCCCCTTATCTGAACCTGGAGCAGGTTCCCTGCAAACAAACAGTGGACATCTGTCCTGAGCTACAGCCCCATCATAAGCAGAGTCCTGCCCGTGCCAGGCAGCATCCCACCCACCCCAGGCAATGGGCACCCATCATGTGCAGTGAGCTGTGAATTCAGCAGCTTCTGATCCAGCTGAATGCCTCGTGTTTATGTAACGAGCTCCGAATGGGATGTCAGCTTGGAGAGACAAATGCCTCTGCCCATTGTCCCTGGCCAGGCCACCCCTGCCAATGATCTCCCGTGCCCTGACCCTTCTCTTTGTAGGCAGAGAAGGTGGTTGTACAATTAGAGAAAACGGAGAAGTTAAAAACATTCATTCCATTGCGGACAATCAGGAACAAAACTCCTCCTCAGCAAAACCAGTAATTAATAAAATGGGATTATTACAACTTCACACCCACTGTTGGTTTCCGCAATCAGCACCCACTCAATCCACGAAGTGTTTGGGGCTGTGTGTGGGGAAACAAGGGGGTCTGTGCCTGAGCCTTCGCTTCAGCTCCATTTGACAGGAGAAATCCGGGGGTGACATTCAGAATCAGCCAAGCACCGTGTGGCAGACGCGGGCAATGTGCCCGCACCCTGTCATCAAGGCACATCTGTTGCCACCAGCCCTTCTGCAGGAGGGGACGTGCTCCCAGGCACCCTTTGTACCACCGGGAAGCAGGGGGAGGGCGTGAGAGAGAAGAGAGACTAAACAGAAAGAAAACCACTCCAAACCCACGTCCCTCGCCTTCAGCAGCCATCAGCAATCATATGCAGGATGAGAATAACCAATCTAGCACAATTCAGCTCACACATGCTACAGGATCTCGTCTCATTACAGCTCTTTTATTTTAAGCACCCTCATGACACTAAAGAATTTGCAATTTTTTTCCTGCTTGCCAAAATTCATAATCACGAACAGTTCAGTTTTCTTATTTAATTTTTTTTTAACTCTTCTGCTCCTGGCTGCACAGCCTTGCCAGGCTGTACGGGGGGGGGGAAGGAGAGAGGCAGGGCTGGCAAGGCTGCAGCAGCACACGGGATCACTTGGGATGTGATAAACGCTATCAAGCATGTAAAAGGCTGCTGGGGAAAGGAAGGAATTAATTCCTCATCTGTGTCCATGGGGGGTAGGATGAGAGGTGACAGGCACAGGCTGCAGCCAAGGAGACTCGGGCTGACATGAACAGCGGGAAAGAGTTTGGTCTGCAGCTCTCCTTCACTGCCTGGAGCAGGATCCCAGATTTGGGCATGGGCAGCCCTCCCTGCCAGGAGCCCTCCCCATCTCTTCCTGATGGCACCATTTCTGAGATCAGCCTCGTTCGACCCCCAGCCTGGGCAGAGGAGATTAAAATAGCTTCTTGCACAAACAAGTCCTGAAACGCTTCCTGCGTCCTCCCCAGTCCAAGCCCTGCCAACTGTCCCAAAGGGCACCCAGTGCTCCACAGTGACACTTCTTATCTGGGCTAGAGTTGACAGTGGATATGGGGAGGCATGGGATGAGCCAGTTTCCACGTGGCAGGCGAGAGGCATGGCACAAAGCCCTGTCCTGAAAGGTCCTGCGGTCCCAGGGAATGCACAGAGGTAACATCAGCTGGAGCTTGTGAGTTGTCCCCCATGGCCTGACCTGAACCCTCTGCCTCTGGCCCTGGATGAAACAACCAACCGTGATGAAACCAGCTGCTGGCACTTGTGGGCAAGAGGAAAGGGACTTCTTCAGGACACGCTCTGCCTGCAGGACTGACTGCAGCGCCCCAGGGAGGGGTGCTCTGCCCCAGGGAGGCAGGGGGTTCAGGCAGCACAGCAGCTGGCCAGAGACACCTGCTGAGGTGGCTGATGTTGGAATCTGCTTCTTGGCCATCTCCCAAACTCAACTGAGAAGAGAAGTGACACATGAGGATGGCTGTCCCCATGCACACCAGAGCACATGCCAGTATTTTACCCCAGGAGGATGCGGGGCTGCAGAGTCTAAGTCAGCTCTTCCTGAGCCCAGTTGTGGGGTAGGAGGAGCCTGGCTCCACAACAAGAGATGCCTGACCCAGCACACAGGGAAAGGTGAGAACTAAGGCGTTGCTTCCAGCCTCACTGCAGAGGAACATCTGCCTATCTCCAACGGGAGGCACCAGGATGCAGAGAGCAGCTCTGATGGCCAGTGATGCACTGGGCTGAGCAGGCGCAGAGGAGGCAGGAGCAGCTGGTGACCACCTGCTGGTACCACTAACACAGCGAGGCACCGCCGGCATTTACTGAGGAAGCGCCTTACTGTGCCAGGGGGTGAGGCAAAGGGCCAACACATCCCCAGACAGACTCCTTGTGGGATGCAGGAATGGCTTCACGCCCCTCAACAGCTCTAGCAAAACTCACTAGATACTGAGGCACAGTGCTGCTGGACCCAGGAGGATTCCTTGCAAGGCAGCCCCATGCTGGAAAAGCTACACAGCACCCAAGACACTGCAGGTGAGAAGAATCTGATGTCCAAATAAACCTTTATACCAAACTACTTGATTTGCCTCCACCTTGCAGGTTCTTGAGTCTACCTTGGCCCAAGAGTTTGGGGATGCTCTTGTGATGCTTTTGATCAGTCCCCCTCCTGCACAGGGTGCTTGGGATGAAGGCAATACCTCCCCATCTGGTTCTCTCCTCTCCCCTGCTTCCAAAACCAACCAGAACCATTGCAATCCTGCCTGCCAGCAAGCTGTCTCTAAGGCAAGATAATCACACAGGAGAGAGGCATAGAGAGCAGCAGGGTGGGAAGGGAGAGAATTGACGCTGGAAGCAAGACATGAGGCTGGCCCATTGCACTTTGTCAGCCTTTCCTCAAATGGCTCCTAACTCCCAGCCAGGGTGGCACAAACCCCCCAGCACCTGCCCTAAAAAGGCAGAGAGTTAGGACTTACCCTCGTAGGACAGCACGTGGCCTTTCTTCCCTTCGTAGATGACATGTCCTTTGGGCACGGCATCCTCCCTTGCCTTCTCTGCTCTGCTGGGGCTGTCTTCTCCGATTATCCTGGTAATGGTTCCTTTGTACAGCACTTCTGCCGGGGTGCCCTTGGAAAGCCACCAAGATCCATATTTAACAGTGTCACAAGCAATTAAGCAAGCGCGCGCGCAGGGACAGGCTGTTCCCCACGGGAGGCTGAGCGGAGGGAGCGCACCCGGCCTCCGCTTCCTGGCGCGGCCAACAGCGAGGGACTCGCAGCTTAATTATTGATGAGGATGATAACGAGGAGCGGTAAAAAGGTACGTGATCTGTGCGAGGCTGCTGGGAAGAGGCGGGGGATGAGGACAAGCACGGACCTCCAGAACAGCAACTCTCTCACCCTGCGTGTTTCAGAGTAAGCTACCTGGCTTGCTTCTCCTCCCAAGGTTTGGTTGCCCTCCTGGTGACACCATGGTGACAGCAGGGACTACTCGAATGTTAGCTTTTCCCCTTCAGCCTATTTCCCCAGCCTGGCACAGGAGCCACGGAGAAGTCCTGCCCACCCAGGCAGATCTGCTGGCAGCAGCGTGACCTTCAGCGAGCTGCCTGTGTGCGGGAGCTGGCGGCTGGCAGTGCGCCCGGGAGAGATGGCAGCAACAAAATCGGTCCCAGAGCAGGTCGGGGAGCGAAGGCTGCCTTAGCTCTCCAACAGGAATAGCATTGGGCTTCTCACACAAACTGGTGTGAAAAAAACCTCTCCTTCCCCCAGGCACACACAGACATAGCTCACAGCCACCTGCCCCCGGAATCCCCTTCAAAACACACAGAACTGGATGTCCTCGAAGAGTCGCTGGTGATTAACACCCCTCTGCCATTGTAACCTGTTGGTGCCAACTGGGAACAGCCACCATGGGCTGATGGTTCCCCTCCCCATCTCTGGAAAGGCACAGCAATGCTGTCAGAGTGAAGCTCTTGACTGACACCTGCCTACTCTGATCATTTAACCCCTGCAACCCCCAGGACTGATGCATGCCTCAGGGGATATGATGCCGCAGGCAGCTTTGCTGGTGCTTGCAGGTTGTGCCATGCAGGCTATTTCCCCACCCCTGCTTGGGGATGCCCCTGCTCTGTGCCAAACCCTCAGAGTCCCCAAAACCCTGCTGCAGTCACCGGGATGTGGCAGCACGTGGGTTCAGTGCTCTGGTCATTCACCCTCGTGGTGCACCCGGGAATGGCCCTCCCAGCCCCAGGTAAGTCACCTCCCTCCCGCGGATGCTCTGAGGGGACATGAAAGCAAGTGATGACAGATGGCTTCAGAGCAGAGAGCATATATGCAAGATCTGCCTCCTGTGAACTGGATGACTAATCTGAGATCAAATATCAGCTCTGGTACTGGGAGCTGCTGCCGGAACAGGGGGCTCCTTCTCCCCATAATGGGAGCAGAGGGATGCAGGCTGCTGAGCCAGCAGGAGAGGCAGGCAATGCCCTGGGTACCTTAATCCCAAGCCGAACAAAGGAATCTATTAGCTGGACTCATTAGCTTAATGCAAAACAGTGTCTTAACAAACTCTGCTATTTCCTGAATTGGCATGTGGTGCTCAAGGCCCTTGACACCCACCCATTGCTGCCCATAGCTGCTGCAGGAGCATCTGAGAGGATGGAGCAAGTGTTTGCTCTGGTGGGTTATTTACAGCCCCCAAGCACCCGCTCCTGGCACCTGTTGGACATAGGGCACCAGTCAAGCTAAGCCTTTGCTCTGGGCCAGGATTCAGGATCAGGTCCCCAGGGCCAAAGAGAACATGGTCGCTCCCCTTGAAGGAGGCAGGCAAAAATCTAAGCCTGAGTGGCTTTAAATATCTGAATGATGGCCAGATAAAATCCCCATGGGAAGCAGATTTTTTTTTTTTTAATGCTCTCCGCTCTGTTACCAGATGAGCAATAACTCACACTGCAAGGAACTATCGCCCGCTTGCCAGCTGCTCTTCTGAAGATGGATGGTGGAGATTAAGGCCAAAGTATCTTCCTGCTGAAGAGCCTTTGGGCAGGACCCCCAGCGCAGCACGCTCAGTGCTGGCAGGAGTCCTCGCTACCTTATGTGCCCCTCACAGCCTCCTCCACCAGGCCTGGGCCCTCCACCCATCTCCTCCTTTGCTCTGCTCCACTTTCTTGCCCTGGCAAGATGATTTTCCCAGATCCACTTAAAGCTGCCTTTGCCTCTGTTCTTGACAGCTACGTAAACCAAAGCAGGGTTTAAACGTGCTGTAAGGCTGCATTGCTGCTTGTCAGGCTCTGCTCTTCTGCAGTCTCAGCTCACGGGACATGGCTCATGCCATCCCGAGCAGAGGCTGCTTCCAGACCTCTCTGAGGGGCTCGATGGGGTGGAGCATCACAGACCTGCTGCACAGCCCTGTGCCCCACACTCAATGCACCCTGCAAACCCGTGGTCCCCTCGTCCACAAGCTGCAGCCACCAACACCCAGGAAGCAAAACCCACTGGAAACAAGGAACCTACGTGTGTGATGGACCCTCGGTAGGTGATGGGCGACTCCGGAGGGGGTCTGGATGTGGGTGTTCCCTTGGTGATGCTCCCTCCAGAGGCAGAGCTGAGGGAAGCACCTGTAGGACACAAAGCCAGTGAGCTCAGGGCTGCATTTGCTGTTCATCACAAAACCCATGGGGCTGAGACTACTAAGTGCAGGATTTGAGCCCACCACACTCAGGCTCCTGACTGCCTTACCAGGGGTGCTTCACAAACCAGAATTTGCACCAAAAAGCAACACCTTGACATTTATTTTTTTTACCTGGCTAATGGGGAAAGAAACCCAAGAGAGAGTTGTATTTAAAGAAAATGTGGCCCCTGCCCAGCTGCAGCAGCAACAGTAAAGAGCATGAAAACACCAATTAATGGAATTTAAACAGGTCTTGCTTTGTCTTACGTAACAGATTTTCAGGTGGCCCTTGAACGCAAAATCTTCACCAGAATCAAGACCTGAGGCCCTGATTTGGGGATACAGAGAAAAGGGGCGAAGAGACCCCTTGGGTTGGGCTCAGTCCAAGGAATCAAACCCAAGATAACCAGGCAGCTGCAGCCAGCGTAGCATTCACCAGGCTTGGCAGTGCCAGCATCCCTCCCCTTCCACAGCCGGGACACACGCCTCCCACTCTGGGTCCTCACCCCGCAGGATGGAGCCCTCCTGGGACGGCTGTAGAACCAGACTTTCTGGCTGGCTGGCCTGGCTTCTAGGAGAAAGTTGTTCCTGCTTTACTCCAGGAAAAGGCACTGGAAAACATTAACCACATATCAGCATAGCCGCAGGACAAGGGGCTGCAGCCCCTGGCTGGTCGAGGCTTTTATTCCTGTCCACAAGTTGGCACCTTCTCAGCACCTTTGCTATCCCCAGCTCTCTGGGATGGACTTCCCAGGGTGGTGAACACACAACTGGCAGCAAGCAAAGCCAGATCTTTCGCACTGGCAAAGGCACTGCCCACACTGGGACTGGAGCTGACACTGAAAACCTTCTGCTGGTTTATAACAGGACTTACCCACAGTAGGAAACGGAACCCATATCCCTACTCCCCAGGCTTCATCCCTCACCCATCCCCTCCTGCTGTTAAGAAAAGCTTCCAAATCTGCAGACTAAACACTTTCTTTGTTCACTTCAGGCCATTTACTCTTTATCCTACCAGCCTGGGGAGCAACAATATATTTCCTTCCTTCGATCACAGTATTAGCCGGAGGGTATTTATAGGTTGGGATGCATCCCTGACCGAGTTGCTGCTTTCCTATACTGCACAAATTTAGCTCCCTGTGTCTCTGCTCTCCTGACGGACTAATCCTTTCATCCTCTTAGCAGTCCTCTCTGTGCTTCCTTACTATGTCCTGTGCTCCTCCCTTCTCCTATGCTGCCAGCAAGCTCACTCTCTGCTGCTTTCAGGGCACGTGAGAAACAACTCGCTTCCCAGTTCCTTACCCAGTTTCTTGGGATCCATGGTCAGTGGCAGGCCCATGGTGATGGAGCCGACAGGGACCTTGGCATGCTCGGAGCTGTAGGGTGTGTGGAGCTGGATGGGCATTCCCTGTGGGGCAAGAGGAGAGGTCAGGAGCGACTGCTGGTCCTTGCAAGGTGTCTCCACCGCTCACACCCAATACCCTACCTGGGAAATGGATCCGACGGGTCTCTCCAGCACAGAGGGGTGCTTGGTGGAGGAGATGAGGGGGGGAGGGTTGGAGATGCTGGCCAGTCTCTGCAGCCCCGAGCGAGAGCTCTCATGCAGGTTTAGTGGGATGGGGTGTCCTGTGAGGAAAACACAAACGTTAGCAGGACTGAGGGCAGGCAGAGTGGCTGCAGCTATCAGAGAGGAAAGGGGCACAGAAGAGAGCAGGGGTTGGATGCAGTGAACTGGCCAGCTATGAGCCTGCACAAGGCTCCAAGTCACATGATCATTTTGGAAAGGACTGGAATAGTTTAAATTACTGCCTTGTCCCCTCTGCAGCCAGAGGATGTGCTGTGCCCGACTTGTCTGCCCTCCAGTTGGAGAGGGACAGTGCAGCAAAGGATAAAATCTGCCTGTCTTTGCACCCACACTGCTCTGTGACAAACCATATCCCTAAACCTGCCCCAGTCAGAGCTGGGAGACCCATGTGATCACCCATGAACCTTCAAGAACCTGACCTGTGGTACTAGCTGCAATCACAGTCTGTGCTCAGCCTCAGGTCAGGCAGAGGAGGACACATACCACACAGCCAGTGGGTTCTACTTGCCTGGTGGGTTGTATTGGAACAAGTGGGGCTCTGCCTGGGGAGAGGTTTTGATCACATCCCGGGGGTAGGACAGGACAGGGGGCCAGCACGAGGCAGCCATCGACTCTGCACTCAGCTTCTGAGCCTCTGCGATGGAGGAGAAATGCACGGACTTTTCTGCAAGGGACACAGAAAGAAACCAGCTTGGTCAGCAGCCCCCATGGGTGAGTGGTCTCTGGGAGCATGGAAGGGAAGCCAGAGCCAGCTCCAAACACAGGAAGTGGCTTCAGTTCTGTCCAACCTGGTCATGAGGTGAGGGCTGAATTCCCCAACCAAGCTAAAAGGAAAAAGCTCAGTATTACCACCTGGATTTGACAGCATTTATTTTACTCAGATGTTTAAAGTGCAGCTGTGAGGATGGACATCTGTGCTGGTGACTCTGCTGGTGCTCACTGCCAGCAGGGCCCTCCATTGACCTGGTGCCATCCCACCTCACCAAGGAGAGATGGCATTTGCAGGGTCCAGCTCCTTGTCAGGGCTTGGCCATCCATGAATCGCTCCTGGGCAGCTCCTGCCTGTGCCCACAGCTCCACAGTGGCCACCATGGCATGGTGGGGAGATTAATGATGATCCTGCCAAATCCTCCACTGAGTTTAATGCCAAGGGGCATCAATGTCAGCGTCTCTTTGGTGCACGGGGGACACCCAGAGGGCACCAGCTCTCTGGTGACAACACGGTCTGTGGTGTGCAGTGGGGCACAGGATGCCTGCAGAGCTCCAGGCCACTGCCAGGGACCACTGCATACCAACACACCGGGAACAAGCTCATCCCCACATCCCCACATCACACCTCGATGTGAAAGCTCAGCTGCTCCTGAAGGATGGCTGCTGGCTATAAATCATTTGCAAGTTGTGGGAAGTGTCCAGAAATAGTGGCATCAGCTTCTTGGACAGGAAGAGGATAGCATGCTGATGTTCTCTGAACACCTGGGACAACCACAATGCCTGAGACTGTCAAAGGCAAATGAAGATGAAGACGGACTCTGTGGGACAACCAAATGAGGGCGGCCTGCTGTGAGGCACAGGGGCTGGGGGAAGGAAAGCTTCCTGAAATCACCTGGCTCAGGGCATCCTGGATGCCGTTCTGGGTTCGTCCTGGCTACAAAAAGGCTGATTGGAGGCCAAGAAGAGCTTAATGATGGAGAAACTGTGCTGGGGATGCCCAAACCCTGCTGTGCGCTGAAGGATGGCAGGGAAAAGAGAGGCTTCATCTGCACCAGCTCAATGCCAAGTGCATCCTCACGCTTTGCTAAGCAGACAGATGAGACAGCCTTTTCTGGATGGATTAGAGGCAGGTTTGGTAGGATTTGCTTGTAATCAATAAACACTTAATTTTGCACTGCCCTTCTTCTCCAGATCCACCTGTGTAACGTCCGCATTGACCAGAAATTAGAAACTGTGCAGTAAACAATAGCAATCACAAATGAACCCAGCCTTTAACCATCAATTTTTGATAAAAATAGATGCCTGAATCCTGCTAAGCCTAATAATAGGGCAAGTAGATTATCAGAGGCCCAATTTAATGAAGCTTTACTGCATTATCATTATTAATGCTCAGTGTACTCAGAAGCTGGGAGATTATTCTTGCCCCCTTCGGTGAGAGAAGAAATCCATTCTGGGCACACAGAGATGTGCAGGCACTCACACCTCCACAGCCTGCTGGGGCCAGACCTTGGCTGGGGCCTCTTCTCTACCCATGCTGGATCCCAGAGAGGATTCCTTCATCCTGCCAGTATAGGGGAATCCAGACACGTCCTCCACTCTGATTGAGAGTCCCTGGCACGTCCATGCTCTCTGATCTTCCCCCCTTCAGCTCAGCCCCGCTCAGCTCTGCTCATGCGGGGGTGAACAGTGCTGGGATGTCCCAGCTGAAGAAGCTCCCTGACGCCAAGGCACTGTCAGCCAAGCCTACATGCACCCTGGATGGCTCTTGGAGAGCCTCATCCTCCTCCCCTCCCCGCGGGAGCCGTCCCCTCCCCTGCATGCCTCTCCAGCCTGTGAAATGTGGCCAGTTCCTAATTGCCCCCACATTAGAGGGTGGCTATAACTCAGCCAGCTTTTGATAAAATAGCACTTACGCAGGGAAGAGAGAGTTCCTATTACCGTTTATCAAGTCCCTGGAATGGGAGCGAAGGAGTCAGGGTTTATATGATCCGTCATCCAAATTAATGCTCTTGGCTCCCCATCGCCTACAAAGGCCAAATGAAACACAACTAAATCAACACAAAACATACTGCTGGAGTTCAAACCGCCGAGTGATAACCGAAGATATGTCTGACGGCAACTCGGCAATGGCAAAAGGGATCCGTCTGCCTGTCGGTGAGATCCAGGCAGGGCTGCCTGCCTCTGCCCAGCCCCGTGATTAGCAGCTCCTCTTGGAAGGCAGGGAAGGGAGGGCAGTGCTCAGGAAGGTACGGCTGGCTGGCTGCCCTCCAAGCCGATATGGCCCCAGCCAGCGGCTGCGAGGCAGCCAACGCCTCAGCCAGGATGTGTGCAAGACTTGGCTTTGAAGCGAATCCAGAGTGGTGTGAAGGATGTCGATCTCTGGAGCAGTTGCAGGAGTTCAAGCTCCCTTATAGAGCAGGGGAGGAATGGGAGTACCTGCTCTGGTGGAGCTGGCCCCTTGCTGGGAGGTGGCACAGGGCTGCTCTCCCAAAGGCTCTGCAGGCTGTACGGGACTCTCCCCTTTAACTCAAGGCCCAAGTGGCAGCACGATGTCTGCAGTCTGGATGCTTGCCACTTCACTGGGATGCCTTGGAGAACAGGGGAGGGAAGGGATGTACACAGATTTGCCAGGACTATTTGGCTATCTCCCTTCTAACCCCTGACCCACAGCTGGGATGTGTTCCAAGGGGCAGAGACAGCACTGAGTCCATACTCGCACTGAAATCAGGGCTTTGGGGGAGTTGATTTCTCTCTGAGGTGACTCATCACAAACCTTCTAGTTTTCAAAGGGGAGGTGCATTCCCATCACAAACAGAGAAGACCAGCCTATGACTCCCTGGGGTCCACGTGCATCGCACACCCACCGTGGCACCCAGCACACATGCACAGCCATGCAGGGCTTGGAGAGCACACAGCTGGAGCCCAGTTCCTGCTGAGATGTTTGCAGGGTACAGGGAGGTGTAATTAATTTCATTAACATGGAAGATTCAGAGCACTACAGAGGAGAGAATAAAGTGCCTCATATCATTAGTGCTTTGCAGAGAACAAAGCTACAAAAGATCCACTGGGATAGCAGATCCTTGTATTTAATAATGGTGCCAGCAGGTCACAGAATGGCATGATTGACTCCAACACCTAACCCCTGCCTTGTACCTCACACACACAAGTCTGCCTCATCTCCTCATCCTCCTGTGGCCAGGAGGAAGCTGGAGCTGCAGCACTGAGACATGAGCAATGCAGAGCTCTGGGCTGGAGTGCTGGCCGTGGCACCCAGTGCACCAGGAAGCTGAGCAGTGCAGCATCAGGTCCACATAGGATTAGGGCACAGGAGGTGCCTGCCACTGAGGGGGAAGAGCTAGAGAGGAACTGTTCCGCCTGGGCAACAAACAGGAACACAGCAGGATCAGATCAACTGGAAATGGAACTTCATGGGTGGCAACACCACGACTTCGGGGAAACTCCCTTTCTTTCAAGGTGAGCAGTCACCTTCCTTACTTATATGCAAAACATTCTGAAGATGTGATGCACACATGGTGCTATTTATTATTTGAAAAAAATGTGGACAAGTGGCAGCAACCAACTGTCTCTGCAAGCACACCCTTCTGTCCAGAGGGACATGACAGCTTGAGGAACAACTACCTGGTCCAGGACACATAGAGCAGGCTGCTACGATCCTGGCTGCCAGAGGGTGAACTAGTACAGTGATTTTCCAGCGAAGATCACCACCCAAGTCCAGTGCAGATCTGCCTCCCCAATACAGTCTTATCCACCTTCCTCTTCCATGCACAAGCAGGTAATTTTTGCAGCTGCACCCACCCCTGTGCAGGATCCAGCACTGGGGGACAATGCACCCACCCAGCCCGACTTCCCTGCTCCTGACTGTGACACTGGTGACAGCATCTCATCCTCCCACACAACTGAGCCACAGGCTGCCTACGAGGGCCAGGGACGCAGACGCTGAACTGGAACAGACTCTGACACTCAGATTAAAAACACATTTAGAGGATGGTCTCATCAGGACTTCCCGTCTCTTCTTAACCTTGATCCCCAGGTGCTCAAGCTAATAATGCTTCAGATGCTCTACGGTGGGAAACTCTGAATTGCTCATTAAGCAGCCAAACCACATCAGAGCTATTCCGGGGAGAAAGCACTGGGAATCTTTACAGGAACCTTTGGACTCCGAGTCACAGTATTAGCATTGATTTTAAATGAAATAATGGTCCCTGCTGTGCATTAAAAGCATTCTTTATAGAAAGCCAGCAAGGTAGAAAAGAGCCATTGTACCCAGAGCCTTGGCATGCCTCCAGGCCCCTCTGCTCTCCAGTGAATGGCAGAGACGCTAATAAAGGCAATCTTCACCTCCTCGGCGCTCCACACTGCCCGGTGTTTGCTGTAGGCTCAATGAGACATGATGTACTGTCTAATGAACACGGGAAATTAGCCATGCCTCTCTCGTCCTGCCTCAAGATGCTATTAAAGAGCTTTCAAGGGTCGACAAAAGCTTTCACCTAAGAGGAGGAAAGCTGCCGGCTGCGTACAGCTGCACACACGGGGCATTTCCGTGCGGATACACACGCACCGACACACACACTGCCCTACCTTCCTTGTCACCAACAGCGGGGCTCCGGCTCTTTCCCCTGGGACTGCTGCTGGGCTGCTGCTGCTCCTTCTCAGGCTGCTGCTGCTGGGGCTTGCTCGGGGGCATGTCCTCACGGGCAGACTCGTGGGCTTTTGTGATCTGCTGCTGGTAGAGAGCCAAGGCGTGGGGAGGTACCTGAGGCTTCACGCTTCCACTCTGCAATATCCCCTCTGAGAAACCTTCGGAAATCTGCAAAGCAGTAAGAATTGGAGACACTTGTCATGTATTGTTGACATCTGTAACAGTCTTGGAGACATCAAGATGTTATGAGAAGCCCCTGTCCCATCCTGGTAAGTCTTGCAGGGCAACAGGGCTTCAAAGCTCACCAGCCACAGGAGATTAAAAAGCCCATGACAAAGCATGTCAGCCCTGTGCTCGTGATGACACAGGAGAGACTCAGATTTGTTTAAACCTCTAATCTACAGTTACGTGCTCATAGCTTTTCTCAGAAGTTACATTACAGCAGCCACATCTTCAGCTGTAACATGGGAAACTGGAAGAGCACCAGGAATGGGTCCTCTCTGAGCACCCAAACCCCAAGGCAGGGATTTCCTCCCTGCTCACGCTGTGCTGCTGCTCCTCTGGTGCTGACCCTGGAGACAGCAGGATGTGTTTCATCATAGCCCAAGCCACTGCACCAGGAGGAACCATCAGCCTTGAAGAGTACATGTTCTTTCAATTCGCAACTACTGGGTAGCCAAAAAGAGACCAAGCAAAGCTTCTGGGTGAGGAAGAGCATAAATACTTCTTAGGTGGTATCCCTCAAGCACATGAGATGAAATGCAGGGCTGGGAAGGTGCACTCTTGCTTTTTAAAGCAATGGGAGGCAGCAGTCATGTGGCAATGAGAAGCTTTTTCTGTCCAGACCTCCCACGACTTTCTGATAAAAGAGCTCAAGAGACATCCAAACGCTGCTGGCAGAGCTGCTCCAGCAGCTGGGAACATGCTCTGCACAGGGAGCACCTTGCCTGCCTGGGGGCTTGCACCACCCAGGCACAGCTCTCCATGGACCAGAGGCCATCCCCAGGGATGAGCACATCCTTGCAACCCTGACGCACACCACAGAGCCCAAAGGAAGAGCATGCACGAGGCACAGGCAGTCACTGTGCTCGCAGTCCCGGCCCTCCCTGGTGGGGTACTCACGATGGGAGGGATGGCAGCAGCTCGCTGCTTCAGCTGCTTCAGGTCCAGCGGCTTCTGCGGCGAGGAGTTGAGCCTGGTGTCGCTGGTGGTGTTGAGCAGGCTGGGCCGGGGGGACAGCAACCTGGAACCAGCAGATGCACGTCAGCAGGGCAATGCCACGGGCACATTCCATGTCCCAGCCCACACCCTGCACCCCTGTTTTATGCTGCTGAGCCTAGAGAACATCCTCTGCATGAAAGATGAGTGTGCTGGACCACTGCTTGCTGCTGGGAATCTGAGCTCAAAGTCCCAGAGGACTTCATGCTCAAATGAGACCCTTACAGCTGGCTCAGCAGGCTCTCAACCCCTTTCCCTCATCCCCACGCTATTCCTAGCAGATATGCTGTTGTCCGGAATAAACCTGAGGGAGAACCGGAGCCTGGAGATGGGCATTACAGAGCAGGGTGACCAGGTGGGAGTTCATATGGGCATCATGCTACCCTCTGGAGTTCACATGTGGTGCTCACCCAGAGCTGGGGATTGGCCCATGCTCCTCTTCAAGGACTGTCTTTTATCAAGGTGCTAAAGCCGGGACAAGCCACCACGTGCAGGCAGCTGGGGCGCTCGGGTCACTTGAAAGATGAGAGGCTGGATTTGGATGGGATTTGGTGCTCAGCAGCCCAGCAGCTATGCAGCCCTGCACTCTCACCACTTGCTCTTCCCCTTGGCTGTTTGAGCTCCCTGGTAGACGCTCAGCCAGCTGTGCAGAGTCCCTGTGTAAACACAGTGGGGATCCCCATGGTGCCACCAAAACGGGGTGGGATGGAGGTGTGCAAAGCCCATGGGTCAAACCATCGGTGTGTCCAGCTCCCAAGCTCATGCTGAGACCCTGGGGACCACACCTCTCCAGGCCATCTCTGCTTTCTCTCTCTCCTGACTTCAATTTGTTGAAGCTAGTTCATACTTTTCAAGCTTTACAGCTTGATTTGTTTATTTTAGCTGTTATTTCAGTGTTCTCTTCAGCCTATAAATTTCAAGGTCATTCCATGCTCACCCTTGGATGAATAAACAAGCGTGGCGGGGCCATGTGTGGGGAATAAACTAATCATGGTGCTGAGACTGCCCCAGCCCTTGCTCTGTGCAGCCTGGCACCAGAGAGGAAGGGGACCAACCTCCACACTGGGCCCAGGGTGCTCTGGTTAGGCACCCAGGGGAGACCAGGCAAGGGCCATCAAATCTCAGCTTCTCTCTAAATAATCCCAGTGATGTCTGCCTGTGAAGCCACATGGATGTTATAAAGCCATGCTGTGGGGAACACAAGGCTCCTTGAAGGGTGCAATGCCCCAAAGTCTGTTGAAACACATGGCTGGGGACAAGAGCACCCAGCACTTGTCCCTGAGACCTTCACGCCATGCTGAGCTGTGGCACAGCCGCCGCAGCAGCCGCTTTGTGCGCTCGTTGGTGCTTGCAGAGATGCATTTAAGCACTCTTAAAAGTCCCTTAAGCACCCTCAAGATCCTCAGGTTTCCTGAATCCCTCCAGGATCCTGATGCTTAGGAAGCCAAAGGAAGTATTAAATTCATCAATATGCAAATTGCCTAATTTATTACATCCCTCCCAGCAGATTTTGTGCTGGACAATGGTATGTCTGTTGGATGCTTTGCTCTGGAAGTCACCGTATGAACAACTCTCAGCACCTTGTATCTACTTGCTGCCAACCCGCAGCCTCCCAAACCCAAGCACGAATGTCTAAAGATGGGTGATGGCATTGGGAAGGATGGGAAAGGGGTTTGAGCGGGAAGGGGTCAGGACACCCATGGCTGAGCTTCGGTGGTATAGAAATGCCCCTTCCCAGGCATGAAGCTTTGGGGATGACTAGGACACTGCGTTCCCCAGCGTCTGCCACGGAGATGGGGACTAGTTTAATTTCCAGATGAGCCAACACACTGACACATGACCCAGCCAAACATGACTCCATGCACAGCCAGTGGTTGTGCAAAGGCAGTGGCTACCAGATCTCCCCAATGGGCTCCCCCAAGCCAGGACCATGGCACCAACACGGCGCTGGCCCAGCCGAGTCCCTGCACCTATGGCTGAGCCAGCAGTGGGATGTGCAGCCCAGGGGTGGCTCAGTACAGTGTTTACGGGCAGGTGTCTCCTCTCTGCACTGCAGGTCTGCAGTGGTGGCTGTGCATGGCCTCCCTCATGCGTCCCCATCCGGCGTGACCCCTCGCTGAACCACATCCTGGCCGTGCTCGCAGCAGCCCTCCTGCAGCACTCGCTGTGTGGAACCACAGACAACCAGCTGCCTTCTTCAGCTTGGATGAGTTAAGGCTGCGCCTCCTCAATCCTGGCCGTGCCTTTGCTAGTGTGAACTGCAGGAGGACCCAAAAAAAGGCTGCCCCTACCCTGCACCCTTTCCCTCTCACCGTGGGGACACCCCAACCACCCTCTGTCCCCTTCTAGGAGATGCCAGGGACAGCTTGATGCTTTCACAAGCGCAGGGAAGAGCACCCACGCCCCGCCGGCGCTGGGTGGGCGGGCGAGCATCGGGTGATGCGGTGACGGGGCGGCTCACGCGGCATCGCGGCAGCCTGGCCCTGCTCAGCGCGAGTCACGCTGCGGCAGCGGGGCTGCAGGAACCGCCCGCGGGCCACCAGCCCCTGGCCCACGGGAAAGGCAAGGGGGCAATGATAGAGCAGTGAAGGGCACAGGGGTGCCAAAAACTCTGAGCCAGCTGTGGATCAACCCTGTGGGTGCTTCTGGGTTGGGAAGTGCCTGGTGCCAGCGTCAGCTGTAGCATTCCCATGCCGGCAGGCTCTGCTATCGCCTACATCTCATTGCCACACCAGATTAGAGGAGCGGCCCGGGAGCTGCGGGACGCCTGTTTAATGTTTAATATTCCTGGAAGCTGGTAACCGTTTGACAAGTGAGATAGGCGCTGACTCAGCGAGGATGAAAAAGTTGAGACGGAAAAGTCGTTCCCAAGACGACTTGCTCCTCTGCTGCTGGGAAGTTGGTACAATCCGCTGCTGTCCTGCTTTCGGTTGGGTTAATGTTAAACTGCAGGAGAACAGCCCCACTGGCCTCACTCTCCCTTGCTAGGAGGTTTTCTCCTGTCTGGGAAGGAGGAGAGGGTGGGGAGGGGTGGTGCTGGACTCTGGCCACTGCTGGAAAGGAGCTCTGCAGCCAAGAGGCCTCAGCCCTGCCATGGGGCCAGGGTCAGGGGCATCCACACCACCCCTTGGTATCGTCAGTGCTGCTTCCAGATGCTCAGCAGCAAGAGGGGCTGCTCCTCTGGGGCAGCCAGGCAGCGTGGAGGATGCTCCTACAGCAGCAGCACTCACCCAACTGGCTCCTGCATCACTCACAGGGGAGGCATGGAGGCCATTCAGAGTAGTGGGATGCACAACAACTCCCTCCAACCTCATCCCATTGCTTCGTTTGGTTGTTTTTTAAATAACCCAATCCACAGCACTGTGTACAGCCTGCCCAGCCTGACAGCACTCATCTCACTGCCAAACTGCCTCCTGAGACCCCACGGGAGGGATGTTGGATACAGAATGCTGGATGTGGGATGCCAGCCTCCAGTCCCAGCCCAGCTCTGAGGCAGGAGCTGGGCTGCTGTCCCTATCTGCAATGGCAGAGTGGACACAGGAGTCCTACCTGGCCATTAGAAAATTCAGTGCTATGAGGACACGTGTACTCATATGTATTCTTTAAAAAACAGAAAACCCTCTCTCCATTTGTGAGGCTCTTGGGTGGGCAGGGGTCTTTGGGAAAAGCTGGGAAGAGAGTAGGATTTTCTACAAGGGGGCCAGTGTTTCTCCTCCCTGTCCCAAGAGCCATCCATGAAGGGTCTGAGGTGCCCCTGGCTGCCAGCCCCAGGGGTGGGTGGAGGGTTCAGGACCACAATGGCTCAGGTGAAAAGCCACTGGCCTGGGTAAAGTAAAGCTCACACAGCCCACATCGTTCTCCTGACTCTAGGGCCAGGATAGATAATTTGCCCCTACAGATCCAAGCAGCATCTCTGCCAAGGGAACAACTCGCCCCCTCTCTGCACTGGGAACATGTCCCTGATGTGACTTTTCTCTGCCAGCGCCAGCTCAGACAGAAACCATTCCCAACCCCAGATGCTGGCAAACCAGCACAATTCCACTGTCCCCAAGGGCACATCCTGCTCCATTGCATCACCCAAATGGGCAGCTGCCACCAGCACACGCAGTGGCTCTGCACCCAACATCTGCCCATGGCCATTTCCCAGTAGTACCCGTACGTTGGGACATCACACTGCCTGTTGTGTCACAGCCCCTTTGGAAGCAATGGCCAAAGGGCTGGGGGCACATGGGGACACAGCCGGGAAGTTCCTTTGCCTGGGGGAGTGCCTGAGCAGTGATATTCCCAAGGAGGAGCTCACAAAGGCACACATGGACACTGCAGCATACAACAGAGATGCTCATGTAGCCCTTCAGCTGTTCACTTGCCCCCCTCTCTCCCAGTTCCTACCTGCTCTTGTCCACAGCATCCTGCTCGTCCATCTCGTCCGCGCTGCAGGTCGCGCTGGAGTCGCTGTCAGGGTTCACCCCGGGGCCTTTGCTGCCCTTATGGCTCTCCTTCTTCTCAGCCTTGGGCGTCCCCTCTGTCCCCGCTGTCCCTGCACTGCTGACGCTGCTTTCTGCCTTCTTGTCATTCCCCTTGTCCTTCTCCTGGCTCTCTTCGCTCTCCTCCTTCTTCACCTCGCTCTTGCAGGGCTCCTCGTTCACCTTCTCCTCTGGCTCCTCCGTTTTCACCACGTCCACCACCAGGTCCTCTGGCACCTTCTCCTCGCTGCTGGGCGGCTCAGGAGCTGCCTCGGGCGGGGGCTGCGGCTGGAGCGGGGTTGGCAGGGGGAGCAGGGGGAGCGTCGGGGGGTGTTGGAGCCTCTTCCCACTTGACTGCCGGTTCTGCGCCGGTGTCACCTCCCGGCCCGGGTGGTGCCTTGGCCCCGTTTTCGCCTCCTTCTTTGGCTTCAGGCCTTGGCGAGGGAATGCTCTCGGTGTCGGAGCTGTTATTTACTGCAGCTGAGAAAAGGGAAGAAATAAAAATAAGGATCAGCCCGAGATTCTTGCTTCCCATATCGCTGCCTCCACCCCCTCCCTTGGGAAGAGAACGCCCTCGTTACTCTGAGGAGGAGATGATCCCGGGGCTGGGAGAGCTGTGCTGGGATCCCCAGATCCAGAGCCTACTAAGCAAAGCGATGTTCTGGGGGCCTCTCTGCTTGCCCAGCATGATTATTAACCCCCACCCAAACACAAAACCACACGCCCAAAAGCCTGGAGACCGAGCGACTGGGAAGCTGGATTTTAAGGGAAAACCCTTGCTGCTGGCTGGACTTGCAGGACAAGACTTGCTCCCTCCCCGCCCTCTCACCCATGGCTCAGGATCAGCTCTGCTGCCCCAGGACTGGCACCTCACTGGCACCCTGCTTGCTGACTTACGTTGCCCATGTCCCTGGCTCTGCTACCCCTGGGGCAGCTGGGATCATCCCAAAACACTGCAAGTGTTTGTTGTTGTTTAAGCCACTAGTGGCAGAAAAAAGGAGGTCAGGGTCGGCAAAAGCAAAGCGCCGGCAGTGCTGCAGGACAGGTTAATTATTACATGGGAAGGATCATACTCAAATCTGCCACCAGCGGCTTGACGTGAGCTGGAAGCACAAGCATCCATGCACCACTCAAGAGTTCAGTGCTGCCAAGAGATTGTTTCTACAGCTGGGGAGAGGATTGCTCCCTCCAAGCCTTTGCCGGACAAACACAGTCAGGGCCAGGAGCACCAGGAGATTTCCACGGTCCCATCCCAGCACGTCCCCACCGGGCAGGGCTCTCACGCTCATGCCCAAAGGCTTCCTCGTGTGCATTCCTTGACTTGCCTTTCTCCACAGCAGCACAGCCAGCTCAGTGTTGGTGAGATGAGTGGCACAGGGGGACTGTGTCTTAAGAGCTGTACGTCAGAGCACATCCATCCTTCCTCAGTGAGAAATTGTGCCATGCTCTCCAGGAATCTCGGCCTTCTCCAACCTTACTTACTTGCAATCAAGCAATGAGGTGCCCTGTCACCCACCCAGGACAAGGTTCACAGTGTGTTCAGCCAAACTCTGCCCGACTGCCACTTGATGCTACTCTGAACACCATGTCGAGACACCCAGTGGTGGCTCATCCCAAGCTCAACCAAGCTCTAAACTCCAGTGCACTCCCTCCAGATGCTGAATCCATAGTCTACACCATAATCCCCACACCAAGTCCTTCCCCCTGTCCCCGGTTGGCCACATGGCCCCTGCAACTCTAAGGTATTGTCTGAGCATCCCCAAATATCCCCCTGCAGCCAGTGGCCATCTCTTACATAACACAATCCTGGCACTTCTATGCCCATTACGTTTCATCCCCCCTGCTCATGCCTTTCCACAGCTCTGCAGCCGACCCCAGCAGCCAGAATGAGAGCCAATGCTTGGAGTGTAAGGCTCGAGAGCATGTCAAGAGATTCGTCTCTAATCTCAAAATCACATTGTTTCCTCTCAGGCACTCTTACAAAGAGCAATAACTACCTTTTACTTTGCTCCTGTGAGTCACGTATCACCTGGCACAAAGATTTACCTGGAATCTGCCTTGTAATGAGTCACTTGCAAAGACAATTTGAAAAGATTTCCCATTTCAAGTTCCATTAGCCTGGGTGCTAAGGCCAGGAACCAGTGTGGTGCCATAGTGCTGGTTAAGTTATTAAATTACTTTGACAGAAGTCAAATGGGCTATTGTTGGAAAATTGTGCACATTTTCTCCAAACTCCAAACTGCCACACTTTCTAAGCGATAAATAGCTGAAAATTGTCACTTTCAAGTTGTTTCCTTTCTTTGGTATGGCTGAGATGGAGGAAAATGCTACCTTAAAAGGGAAAGGAGGAGGAAAAGACCTGCCGTGATGCATCAGCCTTGTTGGTGGGAGACCACCGGCTTTCCCTGCCTTTGCTGCAGGGCTGGGCTCTGGGAACTCCACTGACAGGGGAAGCAGCAATGCCCTGATGGGATGGGGATGGGTTCACACAAACCTTGACCAGTTATCTCTCCTTGAGCCCATGATAAGCTCTGTGAAAGCCCACAGTGGTGGCTGTCTAACCCTGCTGAGCATGTAGGGATCCTCCTTTGGAGAAAAACACCAAGAAATGTGATTTACAAGAGGCCCTGGGAAGCTGGGTGCTCTTGGAGAGCATGCTGACAGGAATCAGAAACCAAAGGGCTCCCAAAAATAGCCATCTGTCCAGACAGACACGGGAGGAGGGCAGTGATCCAGGGCACTCCTCGCAAGCGTGAAATGCAGAGGCATCCAAAACACCACAAGCGCCTTGTGCTGTGAGACACCGTCACCTCGGAGTGACCTTGGGGTGACAGACGTGACCCCTTGTGAGTGCTGACATTTGCAGCTCCGGAGAGGCCGTGTGTGACGCCTCTGCCATGACCAGGCAGCAAAGCCAGGAGAGCTGAGCACATTCCCCCCCCACAGCCCCCAACCCGCCTCACCTTCCGTCTCCTCCGCCATCTCCTCCTCGTTGCCGCTCGTCCCTGACACCTCCATCTCCTCGTCCTCAGCCGCAGGAGGGAAGGCGGCTTCTTCGTTCTGAACAGCAGCGCCTTTTTTCTTCTTCCTCTTGGCGTTCCTTTCTTTCTCCTGGAGAAGAGGAAGAGGATGGTGAGAGGCAAAGCCCATGGAGAGCCATGTGGGAACAGAGAGCACCAGTCCTGCCCAAAGGGCCAAGAGGAATGCTCCTACCACCAGAGACCCCCTGCTCTGGGCAAACCCTCTGAATATGAGTCTTTGGGATCAGACTCATCAGTTGAAAGCCTGGCAGCTTGGTGTCACCTGGCCAAAAAATTTTGCCAGCCTGGCTCCACATGGAGCTCCACCCTCAGGCAGCAGCAAGCCTCCAAGGGAAGGATGGCACGGATATGTGGACAAGGGACCAGCATGCAGAGAGCACCAGTGCAGGGGTGGCAAGAGCCCAGGGGTCATGTGTCTGGTCATTACACACGTGACGTGTTAGCCTTGCACATTTCCAGGCTCTACCTTCAGCTACACATACACATGTGGCTCCGAACTGACATTCATCTGCAGATAACAAAGCTGATGCCCCAGATACAGCCCAGCCAATGTTTTCATGCACCAGCTTTCATGACCCCTTTGGCAGGTGCTGCCAAAGGGCTCTGACTGCCAGGCCAGGGCAGCTGTCACTGGTGAACAGTGGGGATGCTCCGTGAAGCACGGCATCCCAAAGGGGAGCTTCCTGGTGTCCTGTCCTGCCCCAAGACAGCCCTGTCCTCCCTTGCTGGGGCACGTGCCACAGCCACGAGGGCGCGGGCAGCTGCTCCCTCCTGCAGACCTAAAGGAAAAGTCTCGGCTTTGCTATTGTTTCCTGCTCTTGTTGCTTGAGTAAATATTACCAGTAGGAACAGGCTCATCATCTCCGGCTCTCCCTGCAAACCCCACATGAGTGACGTGTGTAGGACGTTTATTTACATGGATGAAAAGATAAAGCCGTGGTGGAAACGTTAACTCTGCTGCTGGATCTCTGTGCTGGGAAGAGCTGGTCCCCCCTCCCCCCACCCCCAACTTTTCAATCCTTTAGAAAACTTCCAGATAAAACAAACAAATACAACTGCTTTTTGCTTGGAAACGCTGCTTGCTCAAAATCTATTTTTATCAAACTGGGCAGAAGAGAGGGGAAAAAAGACACTTGAGAACAGGCTCTGTGCAGGCACAGAGAGGTGGCGGGAGGAAGGCCGGGTCCCGTGGTTCCCTTGCCCCATCCTGGCCCTGCCGGCGATGCCCCGGTGCTGCCGGCGTTCGCGCCTCTGCCACGGCAGCGATTCAGCAACCGCACGTTTCTGTGTGAAGCAGCAGTTCCCCATCACGCTAATGCGGTGACAAAGCGCCGACGTTACTATGGCAAAGACTTCTCTGCCTCTTACTCACGGGTCCGTGACTCAGCCGCGGGCAGGAGCAGGCTCCTCGCTGTGGGAATTAGCTGGGAACCAGCCTCTGCCTCAGCACCCTACTTGGCCAGAGCCTGGGGCTGGCAGCTGCTGGAAGAGCAGAGCAGGGAGCAGCCCCAGAGGCACCATAGGTCCCTCTCCCGGCAGACCCCACTGCTGATATTTAAGGAGAATGAAATCCAGGCAGCAGATCCTGGCTACATCTAGAGATACATTCAAGGCCACCACTTTGTCACTTATCATGCTGACAGCTCCAGATCGCTTGAGCAGACTTGCTCCCTGCACCCTGCCCAGGAAGGGGTCCCATCCTGCCCTGCCTCCGTAAGTAGCCCCAGGGCTCCCATGGCTGATGCGGGATCCTAACCACAACTGTCCTAACGACAAGAGACTCTGTGAGCCATGCCTGGAACCAGGCATCTCCCACTGTAACAATGTAGTTTTAATCCAAGTGATTGCCAGCAAGGCCATGGGAAGGTGCCAGGACCATTTGCTATGGTCATGCTGATGCTTATTTTGTGGCTCTCTGCCTTCCACAGGTATTTCTTCAGGAACATCCAGGACTTGATGCCACTCAAGCATTCTGCCTTGCCAAGACCACTGAGGAGAAGTTCTGTGCACAGTGAGGACACTAAACCCTACACGAGGGGTCACTCCATGCCTCCTCCTCCATGATGTCTTTCCAGGCCATCCTGACAAATTCAGCCTCTCCCTGCTCTCACCAACTGACATGACAGCAACTGCCCAAACAGTTTCCAAACCCTGCTACCAACACAAAACCATCATGATGGGAACCTCCTATCAGCCTCAGCCTGTCCAAAGAGCATGACCAGGCAGTCCCAGCCTGGTATCACGAAATGATGTGTCTTTGCAACCATGCCAGGACCAGGTCTAACCACAGAGTGACTCCCGTGCTCTGCCACGGGTGCAGCTGGCAGTGATGGGAAGGGGTAGAGCAGTGACCCTGCAGGAAGGACCTCTCTGCCACTGCAGTGAAGAGGGTCTCAATTCTCCATCCTGAGAGCAAGGGTCTGCATCAAGGCAAGACAGACACATTCATCCCTCAGAAGCAGAGGCCACCAGACTGCACTCTCAAAGCAGTTTTGCTGTGCAAAGCCAGCATTACCCAGAAAAGCAAGGCATTAAAGAAATGTTGCTCAGAGGAGGTCTAAAAGATTGGTTCTCCAAGCAGGACCAGCCCCAGCCCAGGGAACAGGTTGCCCTCTTTGCTGCACAAGCCAAAACAAGCCCCAGCAGATACCAGCCCAAAGTGACAACCACACTGCAGAGAGGTGCTGGTGAAGACAGTGCCTAATCTCCAGCCATTAACAGAAAGAAGAGCTCTGAGAACACCATGTATACCAATGCCCTGCTTTCCTTAAATGCTGAGATTAGTGAGTGCAGTGTGCAGAAGGTCAAGGCTAAGTGACGCTGATGCCTGGGACACATCCGAGCCGTGCGGCAGCGAAACCAAGCCAAAACACACAACAGGGCAGATAAAGCGAAGCCTCGAGGTGGCCTGACCCTGCCCCAGCAGTCACTGGCTGCCTGTCCCATGGTGTGGCTGGCTGGTAGGGATGGCCCGAGCCACGGGTGTCTGCTTCCCATCCCACACGAGTCACTGCCGCTGGCCTGCCCGCACAGCTCATCCGAGCCACCTGCACACTGCGGAAACCCGGTGTCACACCTACCTGGAAGAGGAGGCTACAATACTAACGAGCCCCATTTGGGAAATGAATGAGATCTACTAATTAAGTTTACTCTCGTTAAGCAAGAGGAGGAAAAGCAGAGCCGCTGCATTTCCCTGCACGTGATCAGCAATAGCTGGTGGTGATGAGGTCAGGGAATTATCTGTGGATGTCATGGCAAAACTAAGCGATGCCACACTGCCTCGCCACGTGCTTCCTCCACAGAGGTCACGGCTGAATTGGGTATAGGATGAGATTTGAAGGCTCGCTTTGCTTGGGAATATATTTAGGAGTCAGGAAGGAAGGTCTATGGCAATTTAATCTCAGTTGTTCTTTCATTTTATTCAGCTTTCTGGCATCTGCTGTTGCCACAAAACAATAGAGTACAATAAATAACAGCTGAATGTTCATTGTTCTTCTCCACGACCGAATCCCACAGCCTCCAATGCTCGAAAAATAAAATGATGATGCTGATATAAACTGCAAGTGAGAGTGAGCAATTAGACTGGAGAAGTCTAGCGGCTGCCTTGGAGGGACGGATGCAGGGAAAAATGTGGTTCTGCAGAAAAACACTTCCGTGATATAATTTCTGCAACATTAGGGAGCAGAGTAAATTAATACACACCGGCTCCACTGCCAGCAAAGCTGTATGATCTTATTTCAGATTCTCCCCAGTAATGAACAATGATATCTTTCTAATGTAACTTTTTATATTCAGAGGGCTTGATGCACATTTCATTCCAGTCTTTATATGGGTCTGGGGGTCTTTTATATAGTTTGTTTGCTTTGTTTCTAAAAACAATTCAGTGAAACATGGGAACACAGGAGTGTCTCTGTGCATAGAGAATTAATAAAAAAGAATTGCCGATGTCTTCTTTTTCTCTCATTCCTATAGACTGACTAGGATATTAAATTCCTGGGTGAGTCATTGAATGTTTTCCTGTCTTTCTTTTTACTCTTGCTGTAATAGCTTGCTTGGAGAGATTCCTGCATTGAACATTGTCCTTTGCATTTTCAAAGCACCCCTTGGGGGTTTAGCCATGTGAATTCTATTAGCCAGAAACTGGGAACCCCAGGATACTCTACAAATGAAATAATTATAATCTAAGTGGCTCTTAGCAGTCCGAGCTATCTCCAGAACACCAGACAAGCCCCACTTCACTCACACCCTGCACTGCATGCCAGAAGAGAAACAGTGTTAGCCCCTTCTGATGGGGAAACTGAGGCATGGAGTGACGTGGGCATCTGCTCACAGCCCTGAAGACAACCAATACCCATGTCGAGACCAGCCTTTCCTCATGTTGTCCTAAATCCCTGAATTTCTCTGGGGCAAACTGGCAATTTATTAGGTAACTGAGGAACCTGCAAGGCACAGAGTTGCGTGGCCGAGCCGGGCTCTCTGCTCACCAGGGCGGAACAGCACAACCTCACCAAAGTATTTGCACAGCCAGGACTGAGCTCATGTCCTGGCCAACACACCACAGCCTGCTCCTCCTCCTGCTCCTTATCTCCCCACAGAGAGGGGAGATACCAGCCATGCTCCAGACACCCAGGCATCTCCCACACAGCAGCTCTGCCTCATCCAGACCTCCAGCAGCTTTGCCTCATCCAGACCTCCCAGGGACAGACGGGTGGACAACCCTTTCCTGCACCACTCCGCAGCCCCCACAGCTTTCATTCAAGAAGACAGAAGCCCCCCCTTGGCTATGGGAAACATTCAAGCACTTCCTAGGAAACATCCACGGCACCCTGATGTGGGCTGGGCTGGGGCTCTCACCATTTTCAGTTTGTGCTGCTGTAGGATCTCGTCCAGGTTCTGTCTCTTCTTGTAGTTGAAGTAGAAGTTTTTGCACTGCGACACGGTCTTGGAGCCCACCATCCTGGCAATGGCTGACCAGTTCCGCCCATGCTCAAGGAGACCTGTGGTTGGAGGAGGGAGAAAGGAGAAGAGTTTAACACCAGATGCGCTCATACAAGGGCAGCATTATCCACGCAGGATGGGAAACATCCTCCGTGCAAGCCAAACTCCACAGGAACAATATGGTCACTAGCACCTGTCTGAATGGCTTCTAGGCCAGGGGATGACCTATGAGAGCCTGTTTTTCTTTCCAAGGGGAAAAAAGGCACTATGCCGACCGCCTCTGGAATAAAATACGTCCCACAGGCATGTCTCGGCCAGCCACTGGGCAGTCACGAGGATGAGCAGTGCTTCCTTCCCTTTGGGACGGCTGCAGGAGGTGTTGGCACATCCAGGAGAACTTGGGACAGCTGCTCTCAGTCCCTACCACGAAGCAAAGGATCTTTCCACCGTTTCCGCCCCAGTGACGATTTCAAAAGGTGTGACAAGGCAGTTCAGGGGGTTGGAACACACAGCCCTGTTATGGATGGGGAAGGAGAGCCCAGGCAGGTAAGTGTCAGCACTCTGGTAGAGAAGTCCAGGTGATGTCCCTGGCTGGGAAGAGGCGTGCCGAGGGATTAGTGCTCATCACAGGCTCATGAGCAAAGGCAGCTTCCCAGGTCAGGCATCATGCCAAGGGCTGGCAATCCTGGCCAGATGGTGCCACCCGAGCATGGGGCTCCTGCCAGTGCTGGGGCAACTCAGCAGGGTGGAGGAGGAAAAGGAGGAGGAAGGAGCCAGTCAGCACCCTGTGTCCTTGTGGTCTCTGCAGGGGTGTCTGAGCACCCCTCGTACTGCAGCTGGAGGTGGGAGTCACAACCACAGCCCAGGGATGCATCCAGTGGTACCCTGGTCCCTCCACTGCAGGCTCCTGGAGGTGACCTGGGAAAGGACCATCCAGGCTTTCTGGGAAAAAACACCTTGCTGTCTGCAATTATTCCTGGTGTGTGGCTGGTCCTTCCTGTGGTGTCTGGTGGGGCTGGAGCCACCACCAGCCTGTGGGACACTGCTGGCCTGGCTGGCTCCTGGCTGTCCACGTGATGCCACCATCAGGCCAACAGCCCCACCAGCCTTCCTCCCACACCTTGTGAGGACACAGGACACAGAGTCTGTGAGCCCAGGGGCACTGTACTACCACAAAAGGTGACTTCAAGAAGAAAACCAAGAGGGAATGAACCTGCTAAGAGCATCTTCCTCCTTTGCTGGGGGATTTTCTGCCCAGAAGCCACCAACCACAGAGTCTGGGAACAGGCACGGACCACTAGGTCCATACCCAACCCCTCCCTGGCTGCTCTGACGCCGTGGGGCTCAGGACAACAGTGAGTCCCACACTGGAGCTCCCGTGCGTAGCTCTGTTTGTGCCTGGGAATGTGGCAGCTGTGCCACAGCCCTGCTGCCAGCCTCCAGCCAAGCTGCTGCCATGTGTCACTTCTGAGCCCCAGGCCGGTCCTAAGTGCCAACCTAACCTCTGTTTCAGCCCCAAACCAAACCTCAGGGACTGATCTCAGCACAGCCACAGGCAATAGGGCCCAAGGGACGCACCTCTGGTCAGGATCTGTGCTGTGCCCCTTGCACAGTGTGGGAGCTGAGGGTATGGCTGGACTGAATAGATGGCACTATGAACCCACAGAGAGATGAAACTCCCCTCTCTACTTCCCAGCTCCTGGAGAAAACCAGCAATACTCAGCACAGCAGGAGTTAATATCCAGCCAGTGCCTGTATCCTGCCCGTCCCAGCACCAGGCTTATCAAATTGCATGTACAAGGCATCACACGCACTGAGCACCAGAAGGGCCCTGGCAAGCCAAGAAACAAGTTTAAGCTTTAACTCTGCAACTCCCAGCCTTGCTCAGCCAAACCCACGACCTCTGTCACCCCACTGATGGGCTGGGACTTCTTAAAAATAATAACAGATTAAAAAAATCACATCCGGCCACCAACCGTGAGGTAACGAGCGGGGGCAGGAGTCCTCCCCCCACCGCTGCTGAATGCTGCAGGGGAAAACAGGACAGTCCCCTGTGTCACAACCCATCCCCTCTGACACAACCCACTGCTGCCGTCCAAAGCAAACAAGCAGCTCTGTCCCTCTGCTCATCACCACGCTGGTGGCCCAGCACCAAGTGTGACAGCTGGGGCCAAGGCTGATTGCTGCACCCCGGGCAAAGCCCCAAAATAAGGACACTGGCAGCAGTGTGGATGAGCCCTGAGCTCCAGTGCTTTCACGGGAGAGATGCTGGGCAAGGGGACCTGCCATGGCAGAGCTCGGGGCTGGGGGGGTGATGGATGTCAGTGTGAGGAGTCCCCAGTATGGCATGACCTTTGCCAGCCACAGGCAGTGCCAGCTCCCGGCTGTCCTTCCTGCTGCCCAGGCTGGCTGTGCCCCTTCTCACCAGGATACTGCTGGAGGCTCCTGCAGCTGGCCAGGTAGGTGGCCCGTGCTGGGCTCGGGAGGAGGAGGGGGCGGCTGCCTGCAGCCCCTGCCCGTGGGACCAGCAGGGAGCCCGGCCGCTGTTCTCTTTTTGCATTAAACCAGAGTGAAACAGCAACACCTGCTTTCCACACTGTAGTTATCTGCACACTCGGAAGGGACCAGTCAAGACACCTCACAACCTGCTGGTAAGATCCCGGCTCGCCAGGCACGCCAGTTCCATGAGCTCTGTCAGCACAGCCATCCCCAACCCCTGCACCTCCAGCCTCTGCCCTGCACTCTCTGACACTCCAGCCCTGCACGGCAGCAGCCAGCCCGGCACACCAGCACGCCTCGGCACCACACGGCCCTTCGTTCCACATCGCAACTGAAACTATGACTAACCGAGTTATCAGATCCTCAGGAAGGCTGTGCTCCTCGGCTCGGGGCGGGGGCTCCGGACGGACGCAGGGTCTGCCGCAGGCAACTACACACAACCTTGAGGTTAACCCCATCCTTCGGACCCCAACACCCGACTTACGTGCTCCGGCTCCGGCTCTGGCGGGTAGGGAGCGCACCTGGAGTGTGCAGCGGGTGGGCTGGGAAGGACACGGGTGTCAGGGCACTTCTTCAAAGCCCCCCCAGGCACGGCAGCCCGCTGCAAAGCGCTGCGAGTGCTCCGCTCACACCCTCCCCACGCATTTCGCTTTCGCTCCCTCGCAGCAGCCGGAGACAGAGAAGAAAGCAAAGCTGGTTCCTTAAATCCTGGGGGCGAAAGGATTTCAGAGCCATGGGCAGCCGGGAGCGGCGAGAAAACGGGCACCGAGGCTGGAAACCAGGTCACAGGCGGCAGACTCCTGACCCCGATGGCAGAAGTTGGTGGGAGCACATGCTCCGGCCCCAGCGCTCTTCCCTCCGGAGCGAACAGCGTTCTCCGCTCTCCTCCTGCTCGCTCGCCGGAGCGTTCCAGCCGTCTGCAGCCGCGGTTGTTAAGGTGGATGGAAGCGCCGCCAGTATTTTCTCCCCTACCTCACCTCCTTGCTCAGCAGCTTGGGGCTACGGGGAGGCTGTGCAGTTTCAGGAGATGCCCGACGTTGCCAAGAAATAATAATAATTAAAAACAAAAAAAAAAAAGGCAGGAGAAAGGCGAAGGGGCGGGAACGCGGCAGCTTCGCTCCTGCCAGCCCGGGGACGGGGAGCCGGTGCCGTCGGTATGTGGCGGAGCAGCGAGCAAGCTCTAATCTGTTCCTCTGGCTGACCCGGGGCTCGTTGCATCTGAATGTGACCTCTAGACAGAGCATTAATAACGAACGTGGCGCTGACCCAAGCTGACAAGGGGTGCGGCGCTTGGCACCCGCTCCCGCCCTCCCTCGCTCACTTTCTGTCTCCCTCGCTCTCGGCTGAATGTCAGCAGCAGGGGGAGGGATCCAGGAAAACAAAGCTTGGCTAATAGTTTTCTCCGCTCTCAAGTGAATCAAAGGCGCTTTTCTTTAGGGACGTGCACGCCGGCGAGCCCAGTGCCGCACCGACGGGGTGCCGTGGCGCCCCAGGACACCTCGGCCCTGCAGCTGCTGCCCTGGCAGAGGAGAGATGGGGAGAGGTTTGGCACCGGTCTCGCCATGGGCGGACCGGGGCTTCTGCTCCCGTACAGCAAGCGGAGGCTGGAAGGAAGAGCTGCTCGGAGAGCGGGGTACCGTGCTCGGCATCTCGGGGAACAGAGAAGAAACCCGGAGGGGCAGCGCAGCGGGCGAGGGCCGTCGGCTCGCACCCCCTTGGCTTTTTGCAGCTGGGTTTTTTTACCAGAGCCATTCCAAGGCTTTCTGGCACAGCCGCCCTGCTCCACCCAGGGCTTGGTGAGGGTGGAGAGAGCCCGTAAAAGGGTCCCTTAATGGGAGTTTGCATGGATTAACAGATCAAGGTTTTAGGGGAAAACCTAAGTGATATCATTCCCTACACCCGACGGTACCTGGTATGATGCTCCAGTATCTCTTGCACCCACACACCCTCTTGGGAGTGGGGATGGAGGCAGTTCTGGCTACACCACAGCCAAAATGTGCCGCAATCCCATTCCGGAGAACGACCAGCACTACTGAGTCAGCAACACCACCCAGGGCATCCCGAAAGCGTGGTCGGCATCACTTTCCCGCACTGACCTCGGGGTGGTTCGCAGCGTGTGGGAGAACCGAGGCACAGGGAGGTGAGTAAATTCTCCAGGGCCACAGATCAGTGGGTGGCAGAGCCAGGTGCATGCCAAGCTCCTGATGCTGTGCCAAGGGAAGCAGAGGGGACAGTGTGTGAGGGGTGAGCCCACACCCCTGCAGGCGCTGGGGTGTTGCTGGAGGGACTGTGGCACAGGCAGCCGGCTCGGTGTGCTCTCGCTACCGTGGTGGGTGATGCCCTTCCTTCCTTGGGAAGGCAATGCCAGAACCAGCCTGCTGCACTCCCAATGGACCTCTCCTTTGGCAGCTGGATACAAGCAGGCCTCTGATGCGCCCCATGGCTACAAGGCAGCTTGGAGCTCAACTCCCCAGCAGCTTTCACACTCATCATGCCACCTCTCTGGAGGGAGGCAGTGCCACCAAACAAGGTGTGGGTATGGAGCTGGGACCCCCGACCAGCTCAGCTTTACTGCCATGTTCCCTCTCCTCTGTCCCTGGCTGGGGACCTCCAGCTCTCAGGTCTTCCCTTTGAAAGAGACGGTTCCTGGACCGCGGCATCCACCTGCTGCAAAACATCAAGCCCTCTGCCCTGATCACAGACCTGCCTGGCTTTTCTACTCCTATCACAACCCTCCTTTTGTGCTGTGCCCCCATCCTCTGATCACAGGAGGGGACAGAAGTCCCACCTGGGATGCCTGCTCCCAGAGAGGTGCCATCACCTCCTGTCCAGCTGGGACACTCAAGTCTCCAGCACATGACAGTGAGCACACACTGAGCAGCCACTGCTGGTGGGTCCAGCTCTCTCCCTTCACCTCGTTCGGATATTATTTCTGCTCCCTTATTGTTGAAAAAATAATGCTCAAAATTAAAATGTAGGCAGCAAATTATAGTAATTACCCAGCAGTTCCTCCTGACAGGCCTTTTGTGTTCCATTCACTGACACTCACTAGGCAAATCCTCACAGTTTGCTCCTACACACTCGAGAAATGTTCAGCCAATGGTGTCAGAAAGCGCAGCTCCAGGGGCATGACAGACAGCAGCACTATGGGCATGGGCCTAGGGGTAACATCTTGGCTGAAGGGTAGCCAAGCCCCAGCCTGGGATGGCAGGGATGGGACTGCAGCTGACCACAGCCTCAGGCAGGGTAAGTGTGGCTAATTCACACCTTGGATGCAGTTTTGCCCTTGTGGCACCCAATCTGCCCCATCCCAGTAATTTCCAAATTTGTACAAACTTCATGGCAAGCATAGGGCTTGCTCGGAGCAGGCACATGCTGGCACTTTGGCTGTGGGCACTGGAATGGGCAGGTTGGTCTGTCCTTGCTCCGAGCTACCCTTGCACCCAGCCTAGACAGAGGACACCTGGGTGGGAGACCCCAAGGCACATCCCACCCCAAGGCCAGCCAGAGGGACGATATGCAGTGACCAGCACGGGCTGCAAACCAGTTTCTCCAGCCCACTTTTACTGCCATCAGCAGGTTTTTATGTTGTAAATATCTCTCATGGGAGAGGGGAAGGCTCCAACATGAGCACAAGGGAGACGAAAGGAGGAAGGTACAGAGCTGCCAGCTCCCCAGCATCACCTGTGCTGCAGCCAGCTCCTGTCTTATAAAGGTATGGGAAGGTGGCTGGCTTCTGACATGGGCTTTCCTGTCATTGGGTTTGGTTGTGCCTTAACTTGAAGAAATCAGTATTTTAAAAAAAAATCTATTTTAGTTTTGTGAACAGAGTAGAACTGGGGAAAAAAAATGGTTCAGATCAGTCCAAAACTCAGATGAATTATTGGCAGCACTGAAAATCAGCCTTTGAAAGAGTGCTTTTGGTATTCAAGGGAATTTTTTACAGCTACCCAAAAGTAACTATTCAGTTACTGTCATCAGCATTTTACATTTGTGCCCAACTCTCCTCTGCCTCATCACAATGACTCCATCCCGTGGCCTTCCCATGTTCTCAGCCTGGGAAAAGGCATAAGGAGCCCGAGGTTGTCTTGAGGACAATGAGCACAGAGCCTGGGCAAGGCATGGGAGGACCTTGGCAAGAACCTGCCACTTCCACCCGCCTCTCTTCAAAGAACAAAACCACTTGTTAGACACCCAGGGGAAAACCCCGAGCGGGGCGAGAACAGATACCAGACTTTAAAGACTAACAAAGGTCATGTTGAAACCTCCCGGTTCACCGAGTTCAGCTCCAGCGCAATCGCAGCTGCTCTGCAGTGCTGGCAAAAGTGGTGACACTCAGTGGAGGGGCTGGGGGACAATAAACCCACCCACTGCTCCAGGCTGGTGCTTGCCCGCTGCTTGCAAACTCCCAGCCTACCTCAAACTCCTGCCTACGTGGACTCCTCCGGTGGGTCCCCCAAAGGCAGGAGCTGCCTAAACATTGCCTTTTAAGGAGCAGCCCCATCCTGCTGTTGAATGCCTCTGCACCCTGCCCGGCGGCAAAGCAGTGGGTGCTGCCCGCTTCCCAGCTTGGGAAGGGAAGGGGGAAATCCTCGAGCAATTCCAGTTATATCAAAACCTCCTGCTGTAAGGATCACAGCCACGGCGCAAGGAGATAATATCAGAAAAACACCTTCCCCCATCGTGACACCAATCTCTGCACATTTTGACAGACTACTGAATCGAATTTTATTGCGTAATGAAAGTGTCATTAAGCAAGAACTTTCCTCTTGCTGGGTTTTTGTTCCCCTATTTAAGTTTAATAACATGGTACTCCCCTTTACTGTCTCTCCCGGCAGACGCAGTCCTGCCTTCTCCTGATTGGAAACTCCCTGTGCAGCTCTGTGACTGGAGAACAGGCGATTCTGGTGTCTCCCTGTCCTAGGGCTGTTTTCTCTCACCTCCCTGAGCACAAATGACATGGGGTTTCATGCCACGCACAAAAAACCTGAGGGCGGACAGCAAGGCCCGGCTGATCTCCCGCCTGACAGGTGCTGGGAGCAGCAGTCACCCTCCCCATCTGCCAAAACACCCCAGGGTGGTAGGGCTGACTTTCCCTGGGACTCACATCTTGCTTGTTTAACTCCCTAAATCAGCCAGCTACGGGCTCTGACTGGTACCAGTACAGGGAGGAGTGTGGCTGGGGCAGATGAGCTCTTATGGTGAGGAGGACGGTGCCCATGTCTCTGAGCCCACCTGGTGCAGGCCACCACCTCCTCTGCTCCTGCCCAGCCGTGCTGGCAGCAGGCTCTGCCCCAGCACCAGGCTCTGCCGCCGCCTCCTCCAGCCTCTGAGGCTACCTCCGGAGTTTCACAGTCACTGTGAGTTGGAAACCCCCACCACGCAGGTCCCTGGAAATGCCAGACAGAGCCAGTTTGAAGCATTAAAGCGGCTGCTTCCTGGCAAGGGGGAATTTGGCTTTTCTGTAGAAGTCTGGTGTTGCAATCTCAGTTTCCCAGGTTGTAACGAAGGGGGAAACATCAGCCATTGGGCTTTACACCAGCAAATCTCCCTGCCCCCTCCTGGCCCCTGGGCTGGAATAGTGCTACGTGCTCCCACGCTTCATCCTTCCTTCACACAGGCTTTGGCAGCTGCTTTTAAGACTCCTTAAGCGCACCTCCAGCATTCAGCATAAAACAACAAGAGGCACTTCTTAACAACCAGATGCTGATCTCCAAAACAAAGCCGTGCTCGGGAAAGATCCCTCCAACGACCCTCCCCTGCCAGCACCTGCTCACCCCATACCTGGCCCCCGGCCAGTTTGCTTGATTAAAGTCTATCTATTAAGTTTTGCGACTATAGAGAGCCTCGCTCAGCAACGCGCAGGATTGGCACAGGGTTGTAAAGAGGGTTGGAACAGCTTAAAGGCGAGCGAGCCAAACACTTCGGGATATTCACAGGCAAAGTAATCCAAGTCCACAGCTCCCATCGGCACCTGGGCAGCCGGCGCTCCAGAACGTGTAATCACCCTCCCGGCAGCAGGTGCATTTTCCAAGCAGAGCCGAACTTGCTAACACGCCTGTTTGCCTCTGCCATCCCCGAATGGCACTCATTTCCATTTTAATTTCCCATTTACAATCCTCTCCGGGCCAGGAGAGTCGGCAGCGACGCAAGCGGGATGCAGGGGCTGGGGACGTGAGCTCGACAGCCCATCAACAGGACGTGACTTTGGCAAAAAATTAAAGCAGCGAACGAGCTGGCGCAGGAGCGGCACAAGGAGGGGAAGTGGCAAGAAGGTCTCTGCTACACTCAGCACTTTTTAAAAACGGTCTCAGCAAAGGCTCTGAATCAGCTCCAGGATGTAAAGTCACCCCGTGCTGCCCGCAGCCCTGGCTCTTGAGGGCTCCCCAACACGTGCCTGAGGAGTGTTGGGGTTCACTGTCTTCTCCTTAAATCCCAGAGCTGTGAACACAGGCAGACAGTCTCTGTGTGCCTGGAAAAGGTCACAGTGAAGGCATGAGGCTCCAAAGAGCAGTGAAACTACAGGCTACAGGCACCATCAGCTCCAAAAAGCAACAGGCAAAGTGCCTTCCCCATTTCCTACAGCCAAGCCCTGCCTCGTGGGACACACACGGGCTCCAGCCACAGTCCAGACATCCCTGGTGTTGGCACAGCTCCTGGGGCCAGAGAAGCTGAGCACACTCCCTGCACCACCACCTGCCTTCCTCAAATCCTCCCTGAGGCACGCTGGGAACAAACCAGCAGCAGGACAGGCAGGATCTGGCCCTGCAGCTCAGGACCCACCACCCTGCACTGACGTCAGCAGTCAGACACCATCCATCCCTGATTGCTGGGTTAGCTCCAGCACAGTCAACAGGAGAAAGAAAATGAGCGTCTCACCTTTTTTAGCTGTCTCCATCTCCTCTTCGGTCCAGCGAGAGCTTTCATTCATTTCCAGGGAAGCTGAGAAGGAAGAAGGAAAAAGAGAAGTCAGCTGTGAGCACAACCCAGCAAGCCCAGTGAGCTCAGAGGAGGTGTCCCAACACTCAAACCCTGTCCCATGCCCTGTTCCCTGGAGGCATGACAAAACCCCGTGCAGTGCAGAAGTGCTTCAGCAAGGAAGGCTGTCATGGTGTGGGCTCTTGAGGCTTCTCCATGCACAGTACCCCATGCACAGCATCCCCTTGGGATTTGCCTCGGTGATGCAAAACCTCCACTTCGGTCCTGGAAGCAAAGCCAGATGGCTCGAGGGTGGCAGCAGATTTCCTGCCAATTTGGTGCCACGCACTCTGGCCCAACAACAGGTACCTAAGATGGAGCTGCTGTGGCTGTGTGCTTTGGAGGTGGCAGACACAGGGTGGGACCGTCACCCTCAGCACAGACAGAGAAACAGCATCACCTCAGTGGAGACTTTGGCTGACTGCATCTGTCAAGGGTGTTGGCTGTGTGTGACCGCGGTCTCCCTCTCTGCCATCACCAGGCTCTTGGACAACAACTCAGAGCCACTTACAGCAGCGGCGGGGGCTCGCCCGGAGCAGTGCCCATCGCAAGGGACAAGCTGCTCCAGCCAGGAGAGATGGAGAGGGGTGTCAGCATCTGATGCTGCCCCTCTCCCCCACCCCAGGCGTGGTGCTCGGGACACCAAGGTCCTGCATAAAGCCCTCACTATGCACCAGTCTCGCTGGCAGCCTGGCACAGAGCAAACCCTACAAAAACAAACCGGGGTGTGAGTCAGAGGCAAAAAACAACTCGGTAAGGAAACAGATTTCCGGCTCAGGCTGCCAAGGGGTGATTACTCTAAACAACAGGCAAAGCATTATTTCAACAGTGATGAGAGATGTTTTGACAGTGTCCTTTCAAAATGGAAAGCAGGCTGATAGGTCCAGGATAAAGAATACAGGCGAGAAGAGAAGGAAGAATATTCCAAGAAGCTCTACAGGAAGCTGAGACCCTGTGGGAGGACAACGTGGGCTCCGATGCCCACAGCATTGGGCAGAAGAGTCTCCTTCAGAGCTGGCTGAGCACGACTGCAGGTGTCACCTCCCAGAAGACAGCGCAGGCCACTGCCTCCCCCAGAAACGCCGTGTCCCCCCCGGGACACCAGCCAAGAGGGAGGGAAATCGATACCTCACCGCTTCCCCTGGCTGCGGGCAGAGCCGGGGCCGCGACACTCGTTTACGTAAAAGTGAGTGTCCCCAGTGCTGTGCCGGCCCTTGGCTCAGCTGGTGATGGCTGTTGTTGTATGGTAAAGAAATGTCACAGAAACGGCCCGTTTGGTTTGATTAATGGCATTGACTGAGGTTGCGCAGTTATGAAACAGATGCCTACAGGGAGCTCCGGCACGCTGCAGTTAAACCACAATACGGTTTTGTGTTGTTTTTTAATGTTCAATTGGTATTTAAAATGCAATAACTTTCTTAGCCAACCTAAATTAAAGCGCTATTGGAGAGACATAAAGTGAAACCAATTGCTCAGATATGTCACTGGAATTGATCCATTCCCTTTTCCCAATTTAACATGGTCTAAAGCCTTTTCTCTGTGTTCGCAGCGAAGTTTATCAAGGACTCTGAGATGTTGGGATAAAAAAATCCCATCTAAGTTATTGGCATTATCTGCTGCTTCTCTGCAGCACTGCTGAACAAGTTGGAGGGAGAGAGCAGGGCTCCGTTGTGCTGGGGACTATTTATATCGCCTGTATGAAAACAGAGCGCTCGCAATCAAGGCTTCAGCCAGTTGTCAGCAGAGAACAGGGAGGCGAAACACCTCCGCGTGATTTATAGCACATGGAACAGCACAAGCAAGAAACTGCAGAGCAAGGAAACCGAGAGGAGTCACCCTGCTTTTATTTTTACCTGCCTTAGGTAGCACAGCAATAATTTTGTACTTTGATGAGAGTAGAAAATATAGGAAAATCATCCAAATTCCTCGATGCTTCTCTAAGTCAATACATGAGCTGTTCCCCAGGGTGGACACTACTGATGCCACAGACGCGAGAGGCAGATGCGCCTGACGTGGGGCTGTGGATGCTGCCACGAATTCCCATCTAGTCCAAGACAGGCATGGCAGCATGGCATGGCTATGGCCAACTGCTACATGTGGCCGCAGGCTGGTGCGGTCCCTGGGTGCCACATTACAGGCAGCACCCTTTGCCTCCTCAGTTATGGGTGGAAATGGACCAGCCCAATGCCCAAAGCCAAGGGGACACAGGTCCCACAGGCTGCAGCTGCTCAGGCTCCAGGCAAATTTGTAAACAGAGGGCAGAACTGGCAGAGACCCAGGCAAGCCTGAGCAGGCAGAGCCAGAGCAGGGTTCTGTGCGGAGGTTGAGGGTACTCAAAGCCCGAGAAGCTGCAGAGGGAAACAGCTCCAGGTGCAGGAGGGACACGAGCCCTGCAGGAACCCAGCCAAGGCACTGCTAAAACGGACGGCTTCCCCTTTGCTCTTTTGCAACACTTTCCCTCTGAGGCCATAAAACCCAGTCAGCCAGGACAGCCTGGGCTTGCACAAATGCCCCCACTTAACTGAGTGAACCACGCTGAGTAATTCACGGGACAGAAAAAACCTCATTGCTGCTCTCCAAAAAGAAGGATTTCATGAAGGAAACCCCTCCTCCGTGAGCTGGGGGGGGCAGAGCAGGATGATGTCACATCCCAGCACAACGGACACCCCAAAAGCCCTGCCAAGGTGCCCCCGTGCCCTGCCACCTACCCAGCTCTGCGCTCTGCTGCGGCGTGGCTGCCTCCTCGTTGTTGGCTTCGTTGGCCATGGAGCGGGTGATGCGGCCCTTGCGCCGGCCCTGGCTGTTGGCAGTTTTGCGACCTTTGGAGGTGACTGTTTCTTTCTCATCATTGTCTTCCCCAGACGTGTCGTCGTTCTTGTCCCTGCAAAAACAAGGAGAAAAGAAAAACGTTGTTGGGTTGATCTGATTTTTAGGTCAAGCAATTATTTCTCTGCATGTGTTTGGGGATGTTTTTTTGGTTTGTTTTTTTTTTTCCTTTTTTTTTTTTTTTTGTTGGTCTTTGGGGGGGCAGGTCTGCATTTTTTTTTGCAGACGCAGGCTCTTTTCCCGGCCGGGATTGGAGGTGGGGTGATTTGTGGTGGGGTTTTCTTTCTGCAGCTGGCTGCAGCTCCACCACCAAGTGCACGCAGAGACCTGACGGAGACAGGTTTAATACCAGACCATTCAAATTCATCCCTGCCTCCTCCTCATTTATCTTCCTGAAAGGGACCTGCTGGTAAATGTCTTTGCAGCCTAGATATAATGAAGCCAGATGTTCTTTTAAACCAAGTATTAAGCCCATTACAGATAGCGAGCGGTCTGCGTGCCAACCTTTCCCTGCCACGGCACTGATGCTCGGCGTGAGGGAGGCAGGGCTGGCTGGAGCCCTTCATCTGGGAGTGCTCACATTGACATCAATAACACTAAAGGTGAAGTGCCGCGCTCCGCTGCGCCCGAATTGCTCCTCCAGCTCCAGAGGCTCCCCTAACAACAAAACAAGCTAGAGGATCAGAGGAGCTTTGCAGATTGATTGGGTTGATATACAAAAAAAAAAAGCGTATTGAGTTGCTTTCCCAGTTTGGGAGCAGCAGGGAAGAGGAATGAGGAGGAGGCTTTGCCTTTCCCTCCCTGTGGAGGAGGTGAGGTGGGCGCACACGATCCTGCACAGGGTCAGGTAGCCCTGAACAACACTGCATCCCACCACCTTATCCCATCGCTGCAGACCCACCCCAATGCCCAGCTTTCACTGGAGCCAGGCAGGGATGGTTGTCCTTACTTTGTCAGTTCTTCTTTGTCATTTTCTGTTTCCTGTTTGTCTTCCTCCTTCTCTCCCTCTTTCTCTTTTTCTTTCTCTTTTTCATCTTTCTCATCTTGGTTGCTCCGGGGCATTTGCTGCTGCTGCAAAACAAGGGACATAAAATAAACCAAGCCCTCAGTGCTGAGGCAGACACATGGCAGCACCTGGGCCAACCCAAACAACCGCCACAAAACAATGCAGGGGGCGAGCGGCCAAGAGGAAAGAGCTGCAGGGCACTGCTGGAGGCCACAGGGGCCGAAAGCTTTCCGGGGAGATCAGAGGTGGTTCAGGATCGGCCAAGGCAGCTGCACTCTGGCTCCTGTTCCAGGCAGCGGGACAGACCCGGCAGCTCCCTTGGGATCAGGCAGCAAGAGAGGATCTGATGCAGGGGTAAGGCAGGGAGGTGAGAACAACTCCCCTGTTCCTGCAGACCATGGCTTAGCCACATGGGTGGTGATTTGCAGCCAGTGGGATGCATTTTGCTGGAGCATGAAGGAGACAGGGGCACCAGTGACACCCCGAGGATCAGCAATACGAATGCTGTGATCTTTTTCCCAAGCATTTGACACAGCCCATGGGGAAAGTTTGTGACTCCATATCACCAAGCAGTGGAAATGCCCAGCTCCCTGCCCACTCTGTACTACCTGGCATCCTCTGCAAAAGCCATGTGCCCAACCACTCCAACACTGCTGCTGCCGCTCAGACTGAAGGCACCCCAGTACCCCAGGGAGGGACACAGTGATTATTATAGTTCTGGATTTTGTTTCAACAGCTGCAGGAAGGAGGTTGCTGGGGAGGCCTGGTTCCCCTGACCTCCCTTCCCTCTGGCAACCAGCGAATGAGAGGCATTGCATAGAGAACAAGAAATTAGAGACGGAAATGATTTATTAAACCATCCTGCTCCTGGCTAATGCAAGGCTGCTTGCTCCAGGAAACCCACCCGGGCTCACCCAGTCCCTGCCCAGGCTGCAGGGCTTCCACCACTAGGGAAAGGGTTTGGTGATGTAACAGGGGGGAAATTGCCTTAAAGTGGATTTATTAGCAGAAAGTATGATCCCAGGCAGCCTGGTATGGCTGGCACACAGCCATACAGCAAGTGTGGACAAGGTGTCCCTGCATCCCTGGAGCCAATGGGACTGGCATGTCACCAATCTGCAGAACTAGGAGGCTGCTCTGAACATGGGCATCCCAGCAGCAGCAGTGCAGGGTGCAAGTGAAGCTCTCTGCCCCCACAGGCTGGTGCTAAAATGAGAAGCGTGGAGCTGTCAAATGGAGCAGTTTAACAAGAAAACTGCTGATTCTTTCAGGCTCCAGTTCAACAAAAGTCCTTAAAATCCAGGCACTGCCATCACTGAAACCCTGCGGACTTTCAGTTCCTCTTTGTACGGGGGGGGGGGCAGCTGTGCCATCAGGATCCCCACATGCATGACATGCTCAGCCAGCCCCTGCAGCACCTCCTTCCCAGAACAGAACCACAATGCATCAAGCTCACAGTCCCACTGCACCCCCAGGAATGGCTCCGCGGGATCCAAGGCCAAGAGGACCCAGAGGAGAGGAAGCCAGGGACACTTGGGATGAGCACTCAGTTGCTTACGATCTTCCAAAGCCCACAGACCGCTAAGGCTTGGGGAATGGACTGTCTCCTGGCCAAGTGTCATACCCAGCATACCAGGCACTGCCCTCACCAGCCCGCAAAAGAGGGGAGAAGGAGGAGGGCAGTGGACAAGCCTGCTGGGACAGAGAGGTGGGAAACCCTCACTGGCTGCAGAGGAGCAAGGAGCATCCGTCACGCGCATTTCCCCGGTGTTGCCTTGAACTCTCTGACTCTGAGTCATGGCATAGTAAACCCTGATTGTGGGTTCAGCTCAGACAGACACCCACGAGGTGAGGGCTGTAGCCTCCAAGGGCCAAGCAGGCAGAGAGGCAGGCTCTGCCCCAGCCCTGGCCATCACCACCCACACACATTCCCCTCACCAAAAGTTTTGGCAAAGGAGGGGAGCCCATACAAGGTTTGCAGTATGTCTACCACTCCACTGCAAATATTTTTTTTTGAGGGATGGAGGAAACCCTGCATCCCAGAAATCACAGCTCACCTCCAGCTCTAAAGCCAGCCATGACTGTACAAGTCCCTGCCCCAACATCAGGCTGGCGCAGTTCCCAGGGGAAGGTTCAGCATCATCTTGTCTCTGCACTTGTTTGAACCAGAGGGCTGTCAGCCCAAGTAGCCACTGCAGCTTTTCCCCAGAGGAACAGGCTGGGATGGCAGTAATGCCAAGGAGCTCCCTGTGCCAGCCTGCAAACGCATGAGTGAGAAGGCAGGGAGAGATGTGAGTGGCCGCAGCAGCTCACACTGCAACACAGGTGCTTCCCCAGAGAAGCATCTGCCAAGCTCCGTCATGATGAGGATGGGCAAACCCACTGGTCTGGCTTCAGTGGGCCACCGCACACTCTCTCCTCCAAGCCCAGCCTGGTAGGACATCAAATTAGGGCTTCTCCCAGTGCGGACACACATCTTGATCCAAGGATGCCCTCTAGTGATTGCCCTGCTCCAGCCACGGGTGGGTGTCTGATGCGAGGAGCAAGAACCAGGTGGGCACAGCACCTTGCACCCAGCAGGACACACAGGACAGGTCTCACCTGTCAGACCTCTCCTACCAGGGAGAAATACTTAAAATGGGCAGCACTGTCACCACCAGGCCGTAGTGGGGAAAACTGACCCAGCTCCACACCCATGGCTGCACTCATGTCTTCATCTGAGGAAGGCTCCCAGCCAAATGCTGATCTGAACCCTGGCAAGCCCATGGTGATGGCCTATCTCCTGTGCTAGAGCTTGGCTGCATGGCAGGGCACCCCCCAAACCTCCCAGCCATGCTCAAGAATGCCACCTCACATCTCATCCATGGGTACCTGCTGGGCTGGAGACTGTGGGGCTGTCTGCAGCACCCAGAGCCCTGAGAGGGCACCCCGGGGTCCTGAATGAAGCCATTTGGGAGCTCAGCTACAAATGGCACACACAAATGGGACAGTCCCCTAGTGATGAACCATAGTCCATCCATGCTACACGCTCTACCCCAAACCTCAGACTGGCATCAGAACCAGACCATAGCATGGCACAGTGCCAGGAAAGCCACAGCCGGGAACCCACGAGCTGTCCGGTCCCCCCTCCCGGCGCGCGCTGCCCCTGCGGTGTGTGGGGAGCTATTCTTAGTGCTGGACACCGACCAGCTCTGGATGATTCAAGGGATGGGACGCCATCCCAAAGCGTGACAGGCCAGGAAATGCTTCCCCAATTACCAGCTGATGTTTCCCTGTGATTCATGCCACCCCGGCTAGAGGTGGACTGGCAGGTGGGTCAGCCCTTAGCGGACACACCAAAGGCTGGCACCAAAACTGCTCAGCTCCTGGCAAGCTTAAATCTCTCTCCACCTACATCCCTGCCACCGTGGGGATGAGGTACCCCACCTCCCGGAGGCAAACCAAGTACATGCTCCCCACCTTGCACAAGAGGGTGAAGGGATGTGCCCGAGGCCAGGGAAGATGCCTGTGGCAGAGGGCAGGGCTGTCCCTCCCTCCCAGGTCAGACGCTCTAACCCCGAACCGCCCTTCCTCCTCCTCAGCATCGCTGCTGCTTGTTTTTGCTGCCGACACATCCTGTTTATTTAAAAAGGCCCCAGGACAAAATCGGACACGGGACGCGTGAGCGAGAGGCCGACCCTACCCCGAATCCAGGGGGACAGGCGGCCTCCTCCGCTCCCCGCGCTCCGACCCGAGCTGCTCCGTAATTACAAACACCTGCTCACCTCTGCCCCAACCTCCCGCCGGCCCCGGAGCAGCTGGAGCGGCGCAGAGCGCTGCCATTCCTCCCGGGAACAGCGCGTTCCCGGGGCCGGGGCCCGCCGCAGGCACACACGCTCCCCCAGCGCCCGGCTCCCACCCGGAGCGACACGGCTCGCCCTGCCCGGCCAGTTCGGCTGGCACGGCACCAGGAGTTCAGCTGCAATAAAGCTTCGCCTCCAAGCGCACTTTAGCGAGACACCGGCTTCCAGGTAGGACCCGGACACCGAAATGCTGACCCTGCTGAGAACGGACCAACTTGCTGCGCGTCCTGGCAGCGGGACTTGCCGGGAAAAAGCCCCGGCGAGGAAGAGGTGCAGCTCCTCCCACTCTGTTTACTTCCTCTGCCGAGGCACTGCCTGCTTCTGGAAGCAGGACGGGAGGGCAGGAGGAGGTGGGGGAAGCAACTCCCCACCTTCGCCCTTCCCCAGTCCAGCCGGAGACGCCTCGCCTGGGCACGGAGCCGGTGGAACCAGCCAGAAACCCCTTCCCAGCCGGCAGCGCGTCCCTCGCCTCCGAAGTGCCCCGCTCGCACGCTCACCGCCAACTCCGGATCCGCATCTCCCCCCAGATCACTCACCTCCCCGCTCCCCGGCTCCCGCGAGCGGCCGGTACCCGACAGCCCCATCGCCGGCTCCCGGCCCCTGCTCACCGCCCAGCCATCCGGGCGCGCTGTGCCTTACGTTCTCCGGCTCTGAAGGCTTCCTGACGATTTGCATAGTTAAGCCGTAAACTAACCACAACATTCCTCTTATGATTTTGCAATCTGCTGGAATAACGTGGTCGCTCTAAGTCGAGTCGATGAATCATCATCTATAAACCACAGCTCTCGTCACCGGGGCTCTCAGTGCTGGCTGCAGCCAGAGTGATTAATCCGCCAGGATGCCAAGCTTAACCTACAGTGCAGGGCTATTTATTTTCCAAACTTGCAAGCCTCCAGAAAAAGACTGCTGTCTTCCCCATCCCCTTTGTGGTGAGATGTGTCAGGCTGTGGCAGGGGACCAGGGACAGGGGACCTCCCTGTTGCCCACAGGACATCCCAGCGTTAACCATTGGATCGTGCACCTTGCAACTGAGGCACCCGCACCCTTCCCTGGTCCCCTCTCACTCCCTGTGCCACGGCACCCTCAAAACATGCACCAAAACACCACTTTTGCCAGCAGGGATGAGGTCATCTCTGGGAGTCCAGTTCCTGCACCAGAACCACCAGCTTCTGCCAACCCCAACCACACTGCTTGCTGCTGGACGCACTGGTGGGGAACCAGGT